TTCCTCTACTACACTACCGATGCTGGCCCTCATTAGGACTCCTTGTTGCTCTGTGTCACAGAGATCCTGTAGTTTTGTTTTATTTATTTATTTATTTATTGGTTTTTCGAGACGGGGTTTCTCTGTGGCTTTGGAGCCTGTCCTGGAACTAGCTCTGTAGACCAGGCTGGTCTTGAACTCATAGAGATCCGCCTGCCTCTGCCTCCTGAGTGCTGGGATTAAAGGCGTGCACCACCATCGCCCGGCGATCCTGTAGTTTTGAATCTGTAGGTTTGACCCCTTCATGTGCTCCAGCAGATCACAGATGAGGTGGATGTTGGGGTGGGTGAACTCATAGTCCTGGTTCTGGGTGGTAGCTGGGTTGGTCAGCCTGCCAGCTTTCCCTCACTGACACCACCAGGGGGAGCTCTCCAGCACTGCCCAGCCTACTCATTGACACCACCAGGGGGAGCTCTCCAGCACTGCCCAGCCTACTCATTGACACCACCAGGGGGCACTCTCCAGCACTGCCCAGCCTACTCATTGACACCACCAGGGGGCGCTCTCCAGCACTGCCCAGCCTAATTCACCCAACACAGCCTGCAGCAGGGAACGGAGCCGGTTTGCCCGCTCTTGGGCCCACAGGTCCAGCTCATCCACACTCACACCACCAGGGCAGCTCTACTGTGTTGCCTGGATGAGGCGCAGGGTCAGTTCTCCCTAGTGTTTCAGTCAGTGAGGGGTGGGTCCAAATCTGCACAGCCTTATCCTCATTGCTTTTGGACAGGAGCCGTGGACATCAACACAGACTTCCATGACTGAGTCACAGACCAAGACCTGGCCCTTGGCAGCAGCCCAGGCCTGGACATCACCATGGGCCCTGTGGCAAGCAAACTATCTACATCAGCCTGTTTCTCACTGACCGTGCCTCTTCAGATCTGCCTCTCTCCCCAGCACGTGAATGGTTCTTCCTCTCGCCCTCTCTCCCATTTCCCCACCCTGTACTCACTCCCCACAATGGTGCCTGAGTGTACTTATATTCCAGCAAGCCAATGATTTATGTAAAACCCATTAGTACTTTCTCACTCCCCTTAGAACAAAATTCCAAATCCTTAGCATAGATCAAAACCCTCCAGCCTTTGGAAAGATGTACGGTCCTAATTTCTGAAGCTGGGGCACCTCAGAAACCTTAGTCTCTATATCACAGCTTCAGGTCTTGCTCCCCTGGGCTGAATCCTGTTGTACATTCCCATAGTATCTAGATGGCCCATTTTCAAAACCCTCATCGCTTTTGAAATCCTTGTTTAATTCCTACTGAACTTGACAATAAAGTCTAAAAACAAGATCTGGAACGGTCTTGAGTGGTCTTGATTCCCAGAGCACAGATGGAGAACAAAGGCAAGAGATTGTCATGGCATTAATCAACACTGAAAACCGTGTCCTCAACATTCCTTACACACATTGTAACAACTGCACATCACTCTTTATTGCTCTGCCTTGATGTATCAAGCTGTCATCAAACATTAACCTGAAGACATTTAGTCATGTCCAAATCTCCATTCTTTTCTCTAGTATTTCGAAGGAGATGTGTGGATTTGTCATTATCTTTCTAGGTTCCTGAAATAGATGATGGAGTTATAAAAGAAAGAAACATTTTGTTGTGTAATACGTATTGCTGTTTTATATTGTGCATGTATATTGTGTTTCTCCCCCACTGCCTCTCCATGCCTTTGGAGCCAGCTTACACTTTTACTAGCAGTAGAATACAACAAAAATAAGACAGAGAGCGACTCGGCTTCAGGAATGGCCGAGACTTCTTATTGTGACCTGACATCCGCATTCTGCTCATATGGCTCAGCGATGGAGGTCACATGATGCTGCTCCTGATGCATGTGGACAGGGACTCAGAGGGCCAGGGTCCTTCACCCGTGGGCTCAAGTGGAGTCTAAGACTTTGATGTTTCTCCATTTCTCTCCATCTGATTCGTTTGAGGTCCCAATTCTCTAGTGTGGGGGTAGGGAGTCCTTGGGATTCCTTCAGATGTGTCTGGGTAAGCAAGATTGGCGAATGTTAAATCCTCATTTGTGTCTGCTTTCTTCAATGTTAAGGGACAAGGGTGGGAGCTTTGGGAAGAAGGAAGGATGAAACTTATTCCCAGGTGCCATCATCTATCAGGGATTTGTGGCTAGAATTTGAGGGAGTACTGACTCTCACCTGAGATGTTCAGCCATGTTTTTAAGTGTGGCTGGTCAGCAGTGGGATTTGATTTCACCCAGCCCCAAAGCAATTCATGTATAATTGCATAAGCAATAGGCAGTTGGGATATATATATATATATATATATATATATATATATATATATAATTGAGCTCAACAGAAGAAAGACATTTCAAGTATTAGGTGAGGTGAGAAGGTAGGCCAGGAGGGATACTGATTCGGGGAAATGGTGGGGCTGAATGGAAATAGGTTCCTGGTGCCATTAACCTGGTAAACAAAGCTGAAAAATAGGGTATGATGATTACAGACTGAGATCAGGTCACTTTAAAAAGAAGGCTTTGGTCGTGCAGTAGAACAACTCAACACAATAATGCGCGACTTGATGAGTAAAAGCAAAAGTCACAGCCCAGACACCCAAGAGGAGATTTCTATTGCCCGATGGCATGAGAGCATAGGCTGTGCTCCCCGAAACAGCAAGCGTCCCAGGACAACGAATGGCTGGTGAATTTACTTCAGAAAGCCTATGCTATGGAAAGCACTTCTGGGCGGCGACATGGCTAGTTTAGGATGTACAGAGCATGTTTAGTTCAAAGCATGCTCAAAGAGGAAAGCTGGCAGAGAGGAATGCCCTCTCCAAGATGGCTGGAAGATGGACCAGGTCGCTTGGCACAGCACAGATGCTGAACGGGAAATCACCAGGCACACTTGGCATGTGGTATCAGGGTGGCTGGAATCATGATGACTTAAAGTAAGAGGAATCAAATGGTACTCTAGCCCAGCCATAGGATAGGGCGGCCAAGAACCAGAGAGGGGCACATAGAAGTGAATGCACATAAGATGGCCCTGCCCCTGCCCAGAGGCTTCCACGGCCAACCTCTTTGCTGAGACCCCTTCCTCCCCCAAAGTTGCCTAGCACCAAAATGTGGGTGTGTGAAGTAGCCTGGGCCTTTTGCATTCCTAGAGCTGCTCCACCTCAGAAAACCTTTCCCCAGGTTTCCATCTGTGTTGAAGGCAAAGAACCCTTTCAAAGGTGGGTTAGAAGGGATCTGGCCCTGGAGCTGTCTATCCCCGTGGCACTAGCAAAGACAGGCTAGAACTGAATTAGTTTAATAGTTCTAAGGCAGGGCAGGAGCGTGCCTGCATGGCTTAGTGTTTCTAGTAGTATCAGCTGTCCGGGTACACTGTAAGGGGAACTTTGATTAGCCTACAGATGGAGGAAGCTGGAAAGGTAGCGGGCGGGGAAAGTGGAGGAAGGCAGCTAGCTGGTGAGGTCAGAGGGACTCCTGTGGAAACAGCCCTCCCCCCAGACTGAAGTTCCTTTAACTTTGGTCTGTTTATTCTTTGGTTCTCTGATCAATCACATGAGGAACCCTGGACTCTGGGAAGTCACATGCTAGGTAGTCTAAACCCTCATATGGCCTCAACATCACCTGCTGCGGTCAGCAAGATGGAGCTGGTAGCATAGGTACCTGCCCTACAGAGTACCACGGGATTTCTAAACAAATCCTCCCACCTTAACCTAGGCTAGCTAAAGGGCCTTCGCTTACAGATCATGAAGCAAGAGGCCCAGGGGTGGCATTCCCTTTGCAGAGAGTGGATAGTAATCATAGGCCAACAGAAGAGCAAAGCTAGCACGTGAGGCCTGGTAAGCCCCCATGCCTTATTAGCAGGTAGGTGCTGATGTCTGCTCTTCCTCATTGATCTTTAAAGGACTAACTCCCTCTTAGTAGACAGACCTGCCAAGTTTGCTTTAGTAGCCTCGTTGTTTAGCAGTAATGCATTCATTGTTATGGAAGAGTGGGGGACACAGTGAGGCTGGACGAACTGCCCAGAAAACCCAGCAACACACGCTCTCACTCCAACCCTCAATCTCAGAGGGGAGACATCCCAAGCAGGAAGGGGGTGTGACTGGTCAAAAGGCAAGCAGGAACTGGAGGGAGAAGCAGGGTTGAGGAAGCTAGGAAGAGGCTGACCCACTGGGCCGATCTCAGGCTGGCCTCTGGAACTGAACCAGTGCTCTCGGCCACTGCCCAGTCACTAAATTTGGCACTGTCAGATGCTCGGAACTTGTTCCGGTCTTACAAAGGATAACAGCCACTAAGCAGCTTTTTAACGTGTCTGCTCAGACGGAGGGACAGCGGGGCGGGGCCATGGCAGAGACACTGGAAGGGAAAGGGCCCTAGGGAGAAAAGGCCACGGCTGCTGCAGTTGTTTTAATGAGATGTGCCACCTCCACAGGCTCTGGCATTTGAATACTTGTTCCTCAGATGGTGACACTGTTTGGGGAGGTTTGGGGGTGTGGCCTTAGTATAAGAAGTGCCACTAGGGTCATGTTTCAAGCCTCCTGCCACCCCAGTTTGCTATTTCCTGCTGGCAGTTCTAGATGGGTGCTCTCGGCTGTTCAGTCCCCACGGCTGCCGGCTGCTACTCCCTACATGAGATGGCCTCCCATCCCTCAGGAACCAAAGCTGCTTTAGTCATGGTCTTCAATACAGCAACAGAAAAAGAACTAATAAAACTACTTTTATAATAATATTAAAAGAGGACAAGTAATTTTATTAAATAAGTAAATTCAAGACATAAATGTTACCAATATTGACGCAGAATTATTAGTATTTAGTTTGAATTCTAGTTTAACTAGGCACTATGAGTTTTAGAACTAATGATGTTTGCCTGGGTTTCTATATTCCAAAATGCCCCCAAATTCACTGCCCTGTGGTAAAGAGAAACAAAAAGAAAACAGATACCAAATTCTAGATATTTGCACAATGATTTTAAAAATTCAAAATTTAAAACTAGACCAGCATATTTACATGTTTTATTAAATTTACAATCAGTAATATAATCAAATACACAATTATGTACAAGGATTATATACATTTGCCCAGACTTTTATATCACAGTACATAGTTTCCATTAGAAATATTGTATACATTTATCACCAAACAATAAAACCCAACAACAGTAGTGTTACAGCACCTGTTAGTACAGACAGCTTTTTCATAAATTACATCATAAGAAAATATACGGCTGTAAATTGGGCTTTTAAAAATGTCTTTTATAAAATATGAACATACAATGTTTCATTCACAGAATGTTTTTTTCTATGTTCTGACTGTAGCCTTGTGCATAAAACGACCAGTTGGAATATTTACTAAATGCTACCCACCCCTCTAAAATTATAAGCACTATTTCAATTACTTAGGCTGAGCTTTCTTTATGATGAATCTGGCATGGGGTCTGGTGAGAGAACAAATGCTGGCTTTGCTATAAGAAAGGTTTATGTGATGGTAATTTAAAACTAAAAGAATTCCGAGAAAATTATTACATTAGTGAAATTAAAGTCAGAGAGCACATAATTTTTCATTTTAAAATATCTAGCACTGTAAAGAAAAAGGAAAAGTAAAATTACAAAATAATTTGTTCTGAAACAATTATACTCTTTTTGGAAGGTTATTAGATAGGTTAAAAGAAAAAAAAAAAAGAAAACTTAACAAAATATCCCACCCCAAACATATCTAGTAAACTACAGTTCTTTCACACTTAAGTTTTAGAGGGAAAGCATTGTAAATTAGGGAATATAATTTCCATGGACTTTTTATGTAAGGGTAAAAAAAAAACTATACCTATTTTTACTAGGTAAACAAGTTTTAAAACTTGAAAATACCTGAATTAAATACTTGCTCTAACAGGTAACTTTCAACTTTCAGGTAAGATCCGCACTTGATTCCAGATTTGTAAACATTATATAAATCTTTCTTAGTCAAACAAGTTTATGGCTGTGGTGATCATTTCAGCTCTAGTTCTAAGCAGTCAACATTTAACTGAGGTAGACCAGATGTTTCTAAACTCAGGGTCAGAAGTCCCTGAATCTTCAGCAAGTAAATAAAATATCTATGAATAGTTTTTAACAAACAACAACAAAAAAATTAAACAAGGAATCTATGCTGTTAAAATTTTCTAATGAACTCAAAGATTACTTTATGGCAGTATGTCAAATGAGAAAGTGAATGGGGAATCAGTTAGAATGCTGTGTTCTGAAGCTGAACATATATCTCCTTTCTTAGGTAGGGACAAACTGAGTATTATTCCTTCTAGACAGTAAGCAAAACGTCTTAAATGCATTCCTTTAAAGGATTTGACTTTCAAAACAAATAGGCTCATCTAAACCTTAATGAAGGGCAACAGCGCCTCCTAGTGGCCAAAAAACAGCAAGGGGCAGTAAGCTGGCCTTTTCTAGTATGGATTCTTCATGCCATTAAGTTCTTGAGGGAAAAAAAATTACGCTGCTTTGATAACTTAAAAGAGTTAGATTTAAACAACAATGGCTTTGAACTACAAATACAAAATCAAAACATATAAGGCTTCTGTAATCAAAGTATCAGAGGAACATCTGTTCCTTTTCTCCAAGCCCCAGTCCCATAAATCAAGTAGTTAAGCTTCAGCTATTTTGGCAGCTTTGCAATTAAGATAAACAAAGCACATCTACCCTTCTGTATACGCTATGTATTATGGTTCTATCTTCTTGATAAACAAAGCACATCTACCCTTCTGTATATGCTATGTATTATGGTTCTATCTTCTTGCACCAAACTTCACATGCAGAGAGACTAAAAATACCCATTTTGGTGTCAGGTTTAACTAAGAGCCAATAAAGAACTTGTTATACTACCCCATGACCCAGAGAATTCTTTAAGATTTCTTACTCACTGACCCAATTAGGTTGAGCTGGAATTTTTGAAAGCAGGTATTTATCCCCTTCTAAAAGGGCATGTTTCCCTGGGACCTAAGACAACTGTACATGAATATACATAACTACAATACAGCTCTGCTGTCTTCAACAGCTCCATATATAGTCTAAGTTATTCAGTACCTCAAAACCATGGTTTAGAAAAAGGTTATTGTGTAATGCCATGGTAAAAAGGAATTAAGTCTCTCAAATATTCTTTTAGAAGTATTAAAGTAAGCTTAAAATAAATAAAATGAATAAAACCATGATTTCAATGTAGAACTATCAATAAGCAAAACTGAAAAGAATTAAATGTGGCCAGCCCAAACTGCCACAAAAAAAAAAAAAAAGAAAAGAAAAAAAATCTCTTTCTTTTACTTATATGGCTATTTAGGTTTTTTACACAGGTCACCAGAGGCTAATTTTCAAATCCACATCAGAAGGAGTATTTGCGAAAACAAAATTAAACAAACCTAAATCCATGATTCAACAGAAAATGTGACAGACTCCTTAGGTGTGATGCCAGAAATCAGCTTCAAAGGAGAAAGATGGTGGTCACCCCGAGACTACAGACCACTACCATGGCTTATCAGGGCTCCCCATAAGATAGGAAAATGGACCAGGGCTTGGGATGAGCCTTCTGGCTCACACTGGATACTACACATGGGATGGAGTAAGGCTGATGGCTAGAGTAACCACCTTAAGAGAAATGAACTGGAAAAGACATATAATCTACCCCCAAGGAGCTAATGCTGCTTCCCATTCAGAGTCGCCATAGCTTCCCTACGGCCCAATGGGAAGTTGATATTGCAACATTATAGTTTCTCTTTATCTCTGCTTACCCCAAGGATCAAGCAACCAGTTTTCACTGTATCTCTATGCCCCTCTTCCTGGCCCCACAGTAGGTCTTAGGAAAACTCACTGGAAAAAGCACACTAGCTTCACCTTTGGCTTAAATGCGAGGACATTGTTGGGAGAAAAGAAGAAAGAAATCAAGTCATCTTGACCAACTGTCACTGAATGAAGCAGGTGAAAGCAATGAGCAGAAACAGCTGTTACCCTGAATGCATCTGCTTCAAAGGCCGTGGGTCACTGAAAGTGTTCCTGTGACGGCAGCAAGGCCAGAACACCACAACACTCAATCAAATCTTCTCAGAAGGGCTTCCCACCCCAAACCCATGGCAGTGAAGCTCCCGGTTAGGAAGCTGCACTGACTGCTGTTCCCACTTCCTATCAGCTGAATTTGTCTCGTCTACCCAGGAGTGGCCAGTCATCTTTCCCTGGCCTGGGAGCTGAGGGTACGCAGCAGCGTCATTTGAGGGGTTGTGAGTTTCCTCTTTGGATAGGACAGTTTCGGTGAGGTCAGCTCTAACACAGCATGCTCCAGGTTGCTACGGGAACTACTTACCCAGTCAAAACGTGCCTGAGCACTGCTCAGAGCCTCCCAGGAGCGCCTGCTTGGATAGGATGTAGAAAACCACAATTTACTTCTTCAATATCTACCAGCAGAATCTTTACAGAGTCAGAGTTCATCCTTCTCCATCATTTCAAATGCTTCTATGTCTTCATTCCAGTCTGCTAATATGGAGTCTATAGGTTGGACCTTTTTACCCCAGCTAACATTAGGATTGGAATCTTCCTCAGTTTCTGATTGTTCTTTAGGCTGGTTATCTAAATCTGTACATTCACCATCAAGACTTGTAGTCTCAAGGCTTTCTGTGGAACTAGGTATCTGTTCAGAAGGGGCTAAGCCAGCAGTTTCTTCAGTGTCTGCTGGAGACAATGGCTCTGAGTGAGAATCTAGAGGGTTTTCAGGGGTCTCCTGATCAACCAAGTCAACTGTTTGAGAAAGGGACAGTGTCTGTTCCGCGCTCTGACTCTGAGAATCGTTTTCAGAAGATGGCTGGTCTTCACTTTCCATTTCAGGGTCTGTATGGGAAGGAAACAAGGCATCACTCTCTTGAAAAGTGCACCGCACTTACCACTTTGCAGCAACATTAGGAGATGCAGCAGCCACATCACGGGAGAACAGACAACATTGGCACTGTAGGCAAGGTCTTACAATCAGATTCCTGTGTAGTTACAGAAAGAATGTATGGCAGCGAAAAAGCCACTCCAGGAAAGGAGTAACAGCAACCAATAGCATAATGCTAACGTGGATGAATATTAGTGACAAAAGCACTAAACAAAATGCTAAAATGCATAAAAATTTCAACATATGATATAACTTATAAGCATCACGGCTAGAGATGGTCCAGTGACTGAGTGTGCTTGCTGCACAATCATTAGGACAAGAGTTTGGAACAGGCACCCATGTAACCAGCTGTGTCTCACGGCCCCCTCTAACTCCAATTCCAAAGGGTCCAACAATCTCCATGTGCATGCACACGCATGAGCACATGTATACACACCTGCACATACAATCAGGCACACACACACACAATTTATTAATACCTACATTAAATAAAGCTTGCACACAGGAACATTCTAAATGGAATATATTTTAATATTTTAATATATCATGGCAAAATTTTAAAATCCTATTTCTTGAAAAGAGTGAAATTACCACTCAGTGATCCATTTAGATTCAAACAAAAAAACTGAACGGTTATAGGTATTAATATGACTCATCAAATAAAATATTGTCATAAAGACAAGAACTAAGATTATTAATAAAACTATTACTGTATATCTACAAACTTGAAACAACTATTCTAAAATACACTAGGAGTCTGAGTAGGTAAAGTTTTTGTAATGAATATAAAATAGAAAAGCCCTGGAAACACTTTCCTTAATTCCTACATTAAAGTAATTAGTCAGCCTTGTTACCCAAAGGCCACACCTGGCTCAGCCTGTTTCTGCAGTACAGCTAGAACTCTCTGGGTGTCCACTGTGCCTGGTGCCAGAGAGAAAATTAGTGAAAACTAACACCATGCCTACCTTTAAGATTTTACAGACCGACGAGAAAACGGTATTCACGAATACTGAGTGAAAAACTCCACGTTTTATAGGGGAGATAGGTATGTAGGAAAGCTTGCAGTAATACCATCTGAGGGCTCCTTCAGAAAGTAAGCAGAGACCAACTAACCTTGACGGAAAGAAACCTACAGGCGAGCATGTACAGTCACCCTCCCAGGTAGGACTGCCTTACTAGGGGAGTTTTTGTGAACACACACCTGCAATGCTTATTCTCTCAAGTTCATATACTTAGTTTTGGGGTGGGGTAACTGTCACCCACTGGCTTGAGTAGTGACACTTGGTCCTAGGTGCCCACAAGTGGTGCGATCTGGGAAGGTTTAGGAGGTGAGGTCTTCCTGAAGGAAGTGCTTCACTGGGGGTGAACTCTCAGAGTTTTATAGCCTAGTCCAGCTTCACTGTCTTTGTTTTCTGGTTAGGGTTTCAGATGTGGGCTCTCAGCTTCCTACTCCAGCTGCCTGCTGCCATCATGGACTGAAACCCTGTGGAATGTGACCCAAATCCAACTCTGCTTTGTGCCGCCTTTGCCGTGGCATTTCACCACAGCGACAGGAAGGTAACAAGCACAGTTCTGGTTTTTGTTTTGGAGTCAGAAGTGTTACCACTGCACTACGAGCCCGGCTTTTTGTTTTGTTTTTGTTTGTGTGTGTCTATTTTTTGTTTTGGCAAGGGAGACTTTTTTCTTTCCTCTTTTTTAATGCAATGCCTTATTTTCTTTCTTATTATGTTACCATTTCAGTTTTCTGAACGGTGAAAGAGGCACAATTAAGTAAAAAGTTAGGGGGCCATGGGGTGAGATAAGAAAAGGGAGCTCAAAACTTACTATACTAGTCGACCAGAAGTTGAGGAGACTAAGAAGGTCTTCGAGTTTCTTTTTTAATCATATTATTCTAGTCTAAAAGGATGGCCCAGGTCAGGGTTGCCTGTCTAGTAACAAAGACTACTTGTGTCCAAACCCCTTTATACCCAGAAACATTATTATTCTGGGTGTTTAGCTAATACCATAAAATCACAGAATAACCAGTGTAAATATGAAAAAGAAATATAATTATTACCTATATGTTTATATTGTGACTGTATATTAAAAGTGAAGTGTGATGGTCTGAATGAAAAAGGCCCCCAAATACTGATAGGGAGGAGTGTCACTATTAGGAGGTGTGGCTTTGTTGGAGTAGGTGTGGCTTTGTTGGAGGAAGTGTGTCACTGTGGGTGGACTTTGAGGCTTCAGATGCCCAAACCAGGTCCAGTGTCTCACTCTCTTCCTGCTGCCTAAAGATGACTGCCTGCATGCTGCTATGCCCAGCATGACAATAGTGGACCAAACCCTCTGACCTGAAAGCCACCCCAGTTAAATGTTGCCCTTTAGAAGAGTTGCTGTGGTCATGGTGTCTCTTCACAGCAATAGAAACCCTAACTAAGCAACTCTAATTTTAAGAAACACTACCAAGATTAATGATAATAATAAAAAAACTGGTAAAGAAAACTAAAGTAACTGCAAGTACCAGTAACTCCTCAATAAAAGTGTCAACAATTAAAAGTGAAATCATATATTTTCATAATATAAATAAAAAACTACAAAACTAAATTATGACAGGTATAAAGCTCATATTGCTTAATACTATATAATTATAAGAAGAAAAAATAAGAGCTGATTAAATTTACAGATATGTTCCTAAACAGAAGGTTGTCACATTTAACAGTTTTATACTCTCTATGAAAAAGATATGTGAATATAGGATTCCAAAATGAATCTTATTTCTACTTCTTTTAGTTTTTGAACTACATGAAACTGAAATTCAGTAAGGGAAAAGCTACCATATGAAATATATTCCAAACAAAGCTTCTAAATTCCTGGCATAGGCATAAACAAATGATGAGAAGAACAGAAGTGCCAGCGCTGCCTACTCGGCTTGTGAACCCAAGGAACAAGAAACAGAGGCAGCCGCAGCCAAGTCAGCCTGCGCTTGGAGAGGAACAAAGACTCAAAGGAGTTGAGGTAGCCAAGTTGTTACGTCTTCACTCACAGGCTGTGTAGGGGGTATGACAGTGACTCAGAAATGGCCTATCAGAAACACCAGGAGCGCAAGCCCAACAAACATCAGGGTTCTTACTAATAAAAGGGAAGATAATGCTGGTTGAAGAATTGAGTTTGAATGTTATACGGTCAGTCACTGGCCAGCACTTTCTACATTGACTGAAAGAAAAGTTCACAGAGGTGAGAAGAGCTATATAATAAACAAATGTGCAATAGAATCACTGAACTACTGAAGAAGAAAAACTAACATTCTGCCAAGAATGAGAAAGAAATGTCATACAGACGGGGCATCTGAACTGGGTACAGAATGGCTGAACTTGCCATAGGGATGTGAAAAACAGGTAAGGTAATCCACACAGAAGCATGGCCCGCTTAGAGAAGGGATGGTAGGCAAGCAAGGCTTCCTGCCCACAACAGCAGGCTGGGCCTCTCCAGGCAGGCAGCCATCTGCCCGTACATGGTCATCCTCACTGGCATCAGACCTTTCCCAAAGTCTTCCACAGTCCAACCCCAGGACTGCAGCATCGCAGCCTACTTTAAATGGGGTTATCTGGAAACTGATACTGCTTGGCTTAAATTCAGGGCTCTTTACAAGATGGGATTCTTTCTCATTTTAATCTCACCTCCATTTTCTGTCTGCCTTTTTACCAGACAAACACTAATACAGCAGGAGCCTTGAAAGCATTCGTCTCTGGCCTTTGGGGCACACAACCCTGTTCTGTAGGCTGGAAGCATGGCAATACACCCCACTTTAAAATGCTGACGCTTTCCTCCATAATAGTAAGGAGCAGAGGAAACTGAATTGCAAACTGTTTCAATTTAAAGGTCTCCCACACTTTTTTGCTTGGGAGACAGGATTGGAATTATTAAATATCTTTAAAAACTCAAAATTTACAGCAATGAGACACTAAGAGACACAGTGTTAAAGGTTTTGTTCAAGAACAGGGTGCGGACAATGTAACTTTTAGGGTGTCAATGGTCACCCTGAGGAAGCAACATCTCCACTTGATGAATTCTAGAGCCTCAGCTTCTGGCTTCTGAAGAATGTGTAATATCTGAACACTGTTGCCACCAGATAGCAGGGCAGTATCAGATAACAGATCCTAATAGTCACACTTATCAGACCAAAGGTGGGTACTGTCTGGGGCTTCTATCTCCTGTAAGCGCAAAGGACTCTGAAGACATTCGGCTGCCTGGATTAGGTGCTTATTCCAGGAGGGTACTTACATAATTCTAATTCCCAAAACTAGGAGATAGAACCATCGTCCGGGTCCCCTCCCTCGTCCCTCAAAGTGCAGGTAAAAAAGTGCCGCACTACAATCGCCTGGGGGTGTGTCTACACATGGGATTCTGACTGACTGGGCAGCACAGGGCGTCAGCCCATACTGACCCCGGTGTAGCACATGATATGGTGATGGTATGGGACAAATGAATGATGCGCACTGCAGACTTTAACTTCTTAAGAGTAGTATCCCGAGTGGAGAAAGTGGTTGATCTGAATGAGCTGTTATCACTGAATTTCTCTTACAGTGATAGGTATTTATCATAACCTGTTGTCTGGCTAATAGCTGTACGTTCTCAGAGTGCTGTTACATACACAAACCTTAACCCTTCTACTATTAAAGGTGCACTCTAAGACTAACAGCTCAACAAGTTACGGACTGTCAAAGTGCTTTAAAGCAGCATTTATGTAATGTCTTTTTACTGTAGTTTTTATGGGAATACTATTCCTTAGCACCTTTTTTTCTAGTAGAACTGACTGCTCTTCCTACCCTTCTCCTGGTGTGGTGAGCATGTTCTTTACCATAATGACAGTCTTAACTCCTGTGTGCCCCTCACCTCCACAGGAGCTTATAAAACAAGCCAATATTTTAAATATTTTACTTTTATATAAATAAAATGATCCGAAGTAATTAATTTCTTATGCACCGATGTTGCTATCAGAGTGACTTTTGCATGGGCATTGACTAGTGAATTCACCTAGAGTATGGAATATATAATTAATAGAATTAATTTATAGCAGGATCGATAAAGACTTATGGGACAACTGACTGAATATGGAAGTTATTAATTGCATTAAGCCATATATTATCATGATATTCAGTGAAACAAAATTATATATGTATGTGTGGGTATCACACACACATACATATATAATTGGTTTATTAATGCGAGATACTTACTACTGTTAATAATGTAGCTTGGAATCATTTTACCTTTTAATATTGCTGCTGAAATTCCAATGGTAGCAGAAAACAGGGGGAAAGCAAAGGCATTAAAGTGTTATACAGATTAGTATTAATTTGCCTGTGTTTGATGCACAGCAGAGGAGGAAAGATGAGAATTTTGAAAAGGGCCCCAGGAGAAAAGAACTCAAGTACATAGGTGGGTTTAAGAAGATCGGGACCTATTTGTGTTCTGTTCCGACTACACACCCTTGCACACCCAACTCATTCATTCCACTGCTCTCAAGAAACTGGCAGGTCAAAGACTCTCAAAGACCAAAGCCACAAGAAGACAAAACACTGACTGGAATAGCACTGTACTGTTAGCTTTTTCAAAAGGCAGTCATGCTGAATTCAGTTAGTTTTTGAGTATCTGTTAAATACCCTATGGGCTATAACAACCCCTTACAGATTATACATGCCATTCATTTAAGGGGGATGGAGACACAGTTCCCAAATCCTCAGGTGTGAAAACGCTGAAGCCTTTACACAGTGGTTTCCAATAACTTTCAAATTACTAACAACCCTTTAGCCCAAGGAAGATTCTCTATTCTTAAGGTATCTTGCTGGTCAGGCAAAGCCATCTGTACCTCCTGGAGTGTAAAACCCATGTGATAAACGTACATAGCAGCAGGGAGACGGGCCTGCATTTCTACGCCTCCGTCAACAGTGGCCTCAGAGTACAGGTTGCTGGTGAGACTGTTACTATCGTATTGTATACACATAAAGAATGGAATTCTAAAAGCATTCTAATTCAGTCATCAAAGCAAATGTTTTACATTTATAATAAATTACTATTACTATTTTGTAATAGTAATAGCAATTTATAATAGTTTATTATTTGTTATATATAATTTGACGATATAGTAAAAATAAATGTTAATAATATTAATAAAATAAATATAATAAATTACTATTATTTCCAAGATAAAAATTCTAAACCATTTTCTAAAATTTTGACTTGTTTTACCAGCAAACTAAAAATAAAAAAGAAAGCCTGTGCCACTTTTGTGAGGACCTTTGCTCCCGGGCCAGCAGGACTAGTGCAGCGGCGCCGGCTGTTACCTCGGTCTCTTGCTTTGTCAGAAAGGAGGACCTCCACCTCCTCGTGCTCCCGGATGGCATCCAGGATAATGCTTCCTTCTTTGCTGAACAGGAAGAGCATGGGGATCTTGATGTCGTCCGTGTCCTTCCCGTCACCTGCCATCTGGAACAGAGGGGCAGTGTCACTGCTGCTCCCCTCGTTGTCATCTGGCCAGAAAACAAACAGAGCAGTCAGGGGTCTGTCTGCTGCAGAGACACGCTGCTGCTGCTGCTGCTTTTCCTATTGATAGTAAGGATTTTATGCTCCCGAGTGCTGGGATTACAGGTGTGCGCCACCACCGCCCGGCTTCAGGAAAATGAATATAATCTTCAGAGCAACTAATTTTATGATTTAGCCTAAGAAAATAATTAAAAGCAGCAAAAACTCTACTGTCATGCACAATTATAAATGGCTCTCAATAAATTATAACAATTATAAACGGCTCTCAATAAATTATAACGAATTACTTGACACAGGAAAACAGTATATGAAAACACAGAACACAAATTTCTGATTATGACTGGAATATTTTCACATGTTTAAGGAAAAGCCTACAAATGAAAGATTTTAGTGATCTGGACCACACAGGCAGAACTATGAAAACTTTCAGATTTCATGTAATGGATGTTACTGTTTGAGCGTTCCTGACTCAAAAACTTAAAATGCTCTGAAATCAGAAATGTTTAGACCAGGGATTACTTAACTAGGAATAAGCTGAATTACACAATACTGCTATTTCACACTGGCTAAGCAGCACTTAAATTCTCTGATAGTGTAAGTGCCAATCACATCTACTCCTAGCTGACACATTTTCCTGAGGAAAATGGCAACGCCATCTCACACACCACTTGCTTCACAGGCCCAAATCAGTGGCCAACACAATGTGTTCTCTTAGTAATTGATCAAAAGATGGCCTCCAGTCCCCCTAGGATCTACAACTGCCACCCAGAAAGACTGCTTCTGCTAGTGGTGGGTGCAGCCCGTGCAAGTGACTCAGCCAGAGGGCTTGGCTGCCCCCTGAGAACTGCAAACAGAGGGAGCAGGTGTGGAGGGCTGGGGAGGAGGCGCAGCTGCCAGACAGCGCTAGATGGAGAGAGACGAGAGAGGTGTCAGCTGTGACGACTCCGTCCACATGCCCGTGTCAGCTGCAGCTGTGTGTCTGACTCCGGCTGAATGAAGAGCATCCCTTTCCACACAGTAAACACCTTCTTTCTTAAAATAACAAGTAAATTATTACCTCCCGCAGGCAAATGAGTCCTAAGGTAAGTTGTATTTCTAGCATTTTTAGTCCTTGTAGTTAAAAAAAATGAAATTCAAATTTATTCAAAGGAAAAAAATGTTTTGTCAGAAAGAAAATCTTAGGAGAAAGAAGTCTCACACACTCATGTTAAATTTCTTTTTAAAATTAAAATTTGTGAGAAGAAAAAACATGATCTCTTTGTTGTTCCACAGACCCCAGTGTAGAATTGTGCATCAACAGCTACTAAAGAAAACGTCTGACCTGACAGTCTTTATATGTCACAGAAGACTCCGCCCAGAAACTGGGAAAATCTTCACACAAAGGTACTTTTTAAGATTGATGTACACATCCCACACTGTTTTATACTTCAGATCTCTGTTTTTAAGTCTTGGTAAGTAAGAAATGCTCAAAATTATAGTGACAAAAATCTAATAAATTCTTCAGTAAATAGTCTCAATGTGAAAACAGCCAATGACAGACAGGATGGCTCAGGGGCTGGGAAATGGCTCACTTGGTACAGTGCCCACCACACCAGCAGAAGAACCCAAATTTGGATCCCAAGTGATCAAATAAAAGCTGACCTGGTGATGTTCATCTGTAACCCTAGCACTGGGGAACAGGTAACCCCCACAGTTCTCTGGCCAGTCAATTTAGTCAGTTCATGAGTTCTGGGTTCAGTGAAAGACTGCTTCAAAAATAAAGTGGAATAGTTGGGAGGACACTAATGTTGACCTGTGGCCTCCACACATATGTGCACATGAATATGTATATACAAACAAATGTGGACACATACACACTTATAAAGATTTAAGTTAGGAGTCAGCAAAATGTTCTGTAACTGGCCACAGCGCAAATGCTACCAGCCCGCATTCTCTGCGACTCAAAGCACTCAGAGACAATATCCATATGACTCCATGTGGCTATGTCTCAGCAACACTGAAACTGAGGTATACACTTCCTAGTTTGCTAAATGTGGGTTTAAGTTGTTAAACACAATTTCTCCTAAAACTTTTTAACTATTGAAATTTATTCACTTAAATCAACATTTTAGTTCCCATGTAGAATAAACAAAAGGAACAGTAAATAGTTTTTGCTGAAACAGATCCTAATACTTAAGTGGTCATATCTTCTGTCTTTCACAATGCTAGAATCAAAAGCAAGGCCACTGAGCTATAACCCCAGCCCTTTAAATGTCTTATGTACTTTCAATGTAGAAATGAGTTCTAACTAAGGAAAGGAAAATGGAAAATGGACTTTCCTGGTCAATTCTCAACTGTTGTCTTATAGAGTTCTTGCTAAATGCAAATGCCTTTTTACCTTAAACATACAAAATATATATTCCTGCTGTTAGTCATGGCTTGTTAAGAGAGAAAAAAAGGGGGAGTATTGGGGAATAGCAAAACTCATAGGTTGAGATACAGGGGTAAAGCTGGCAATTTGTAGTTTCAGTGGAAAAACATCCACTGGGATAAAAGTCCTAACCACTGGTGCTTGTATGTTATCAGTATTTGTAACTTAAAAAAATCTTTCTTCAGTGGGAAAAGATGTTCACCAACCCCATATCGGACAGAGGGCTGATCTCCAAAATGTACAAAGAACTCAAGAAACTGGTCATCAAAAGAACACATAATCCAATAAAAAAAAATGGAGTACAGACCTAAACAGAGAAATCTCAACAGAGGAATCTAAAATGGCTGAAAGACACCTAAGGAAATTCTCAACATCCTTAGTCATCAGAGAAATGCAAATCAAAACAACTCTGAGATTCCATCTTATACCTGTAAGAATGGCCAAAATCAAAAACAATGATGACAACTTATGCTGGAGAGGTTGTGGGGTAAAGGGAACACTTCTGCATTGCTGGTGGGAATGCAAGCTGGTACAACCCCTTTTGGATATCACTGTGGAGATTTCTCAGAAAATTAGGGAACAACCTTCCTCAAGACCCAGCAACACCACTTTTGGGTATATATCCAAAGGACGCTCAATCGTGCCACAAGGACATGTGCTCAACTATGTTCATAGCAGCTTTGTTTGTCACAGTCAGAACCTGGAAGCATCCTAAATGCCCTTTGACTGAAGAATGGATAGGGAAAATGTGGTACATTTACACAATGGAGTACTACAGAGCAGAAAAAAATACGACATATTGAATTTTGCAGGAAAATGGATGGAGCTAGAAAACATCATTTTGAGTGAGGTAATCCAGATCCAGAAAGACAATTATCACATGTACTCACTTAAACATAAAGCAAAGAAAACCAGCCTACAAACCACAATCCCAGAGAACCTAGACAACAATTAGGACACTAAGAGAGACATACATGGATCTAATCTACATGGGAAATAGAAAAAGACAAGATCTCCTGAGTAAATTGGGAGCATGGGGACCTTGGGAGAGGGCTTAAAGGGAAAGGAAGGGGAGCAGAGAAAAATGCATAGCTCAATAAAATAAATTTTTAAAAAAAGCAAAAAAAAAATCTTTCCTTAGAAAGAAAGAAAAGATCACAAACAAGTGAAGCTGGCCAAGGCTGCACTGCCCTTCTGTGGCAGAGCCCCTATCTGTGGCTCCAAAGCCTGCCACGCTGTGGGGGAAGGGAAGTCCCTAAAGGCTGTACACTGGAGGTCCCTGGGGACTTTAGATCTCAAGGGTGCGGGGCATTTTCACAGCACTCCAACTCCACCCTCATACCCTAGCCAAATATTTCCACTGATATTAATATACAGAAACCAGTATCTGGATTTTCAAGAAAAATAAATAGACTATCAATTATCAGGTCACTGAATCATCTATCCTTTATGGTGTCAAAATAAAAATAACCTGATAAACCCTCTGATAAGATTTTAGAAAATGCCGGGCGGTGGTGGCGCACGCCTTTAATCCCAGCACTCGGGAGGCAGAGGCAGGCGGATCTCTGTGAGTTCGAGGCCAGCCTGGTCTACAAGAGCTAGTTCCAGGACAGGAACCAAAAGCTACGGAGAAACCCTGTCTCGAAAAAAAATCAAAAAAAAAAAAAAAGATTTTAGAAAATAAAAGGGAAATCGCCCAATCGCCTCTTCGCAATCAATATGCTGATACAGAGGTGCACTCACCAATAACGATGCCGCCAATGGCTCCAGCATTCTGGATGTTGCGGGCCTTTTCTGCAAACATGCACTGTCCTCTTTGTATCAGGGCAATTTTCCCCATCACTGCCTCTGGGTTAGTGAGCTCTGAACAACCATTATATGGTTTACTGCTTGCAACAAATCCTCTTGTCTGTTGGGGAAAAAAAAGTAACCTAAATCTTTTATCTTCTTCAATTACAGTCTACTCATTTAACTTCAGTATAGTGAGTTTTAAGGGAACTGGAATTCTCTTTCTGTGTGTGTGCGTGTGTGTACATGCAGAAACTACAGATCAATCAGCAATCTCACCTATCATTCATCAAGAGCCATACACCTCACCTTTCGAGACTGGGTCTCTCATTGGAATTTGGAGATCACAGATTAGCCTCAGTTGGCTGGCTGGGGAGACTGGGGATCTTCCTGTCTCTACCCTCTCCTTGCTGGGATTAAGAGGACATTAACATGCTTGTGGGGCAGTTGTGAAGCACGCCTTTAATCCCAGCACTCGGGAGGAAGAGGCAGGCAGATCTCAGTGAGTTTGAGGCCAGCCTGGTCTACAGAGTGAGTTCCAGGACAGCCAGGACTGTCAACAAAAAAAAAAAAAACCCTGTCTCAAAAACAAAACAATAAGAGGGCACATTAACATGCCTGGCTTTTATGTGGGTGCTGGGGCTGAGCTCAGCTCTCATGTGTGCACAGCAAGCACTAATAACTGAGAGATCTCCCCAGCAGCTGTATAGTAAGACAGCTTTAATTTAAATGCAGGAGGCTGAATGCTACAGTAATGTTTTGTTGTGGGGACTACAACCAGGGTCTGAGCTGAGTGTGTGTTTCTGCCACTGAAATGTGTACTCAGCCCCCAACTTCTAAACAAGAAGCTACTAAACAAAGAAATCAAATACTTACGATTTTAATTTCAGTATGCGTACTGGAGTGCACATACCTCTTTATGTTTAGATAGATCCAGCCCAAACTGAGCTGGTCCAGCAGTTAAGACTACCCTGCCAAAAAATGGGTGGGAAATAATTTGTACAGCTCGTGGAGGTAGCTGCTGCTCTTTCTGCTGCTGACTTGACAGTTCAATCATCTCCTGCATGAACCGCAGCCCATCTTCAGCATCAATTGCACTAGCAGCCTAGGAAAGAAACAGACTCAGTTCAGCTCCGCTTTCCTTCCTGAAAACTTCCCCATCTGTTTGACTTCCTAAATTACAGACTTCTGCATGGAATTTTCTCTTTTAGCTTAGGTCCCCACTAAATATTTTGATCTACCTTGCCCTCAATACACTACTTTTAGGAATTAAATTTTCTCAATAGCATCATCTGTCGCTTTGATCAGTGTCTCTTCCCCCACCACGGAAACACTTTGATGGAGATTTGAATCTGTGCTTCTATCAAAGCCCAAGCACCCTTTTGCTCTTTAGCTCTATTGGCTTCACCTTTAAAAGAAAAAGTTTCTTGCCTGACCCCCATCTTTCCTCTTTGAAACTCCAAATTAGCAAGCAGATTCAATAAAGCTCCAAACATGTAGTAAGAACCTATTCTGTCCCCACAGTAAGCTGAAGCACTGGGGAGACAGTCTGTAAGTTTATGTCTAGTGGAGAAAGACATGCAAAAGTTAACTATGTATAAAAAGTCTAAGGTGAAAAGGCCCAAGGGAGTAATTGGTTCTGCTTGTATATAACTGAGAACTAGGTCTCAACCATGGAGGAGTTGAAGATGTCCATCACAGGAAAAAGTTGCAAGGAAAAAAAATAGGCTTTGATGTAGGGAGTCGGAGGGCAGAGAGACACTGAGAGTTCAAGCTCACTCTGAAATTTCTAGCCCTGGGAAGAGCTCAGAGAATGATGAGCGTTTACTGAATGGAAAACAGAGAAGAGAGCTGAGGTAAGGATAGGAGAGTGACAGAGAAAGAAAACACGACTCAAATCAGGGCAGATGGGGGCTGCGGTGTACAATACACAGCAGATGTGCGGAATCTGCGTTCAGGACTGAAGCTCAGGATGACTGCTATATGCACGTGTCCAAGAGGCATCTGTTCAAAGCTAGCGGCAGGAACAGAAGACTGCTGAAGAAAAGACTAGAGAGAAAAGAAAATCGTCTAGAGTCGAAGACCGCCCTACACTGGGAGGGACTGCCCGGGAAGTCGAGCTACCACATATTCTATAAGGCGCACAGTGAGAACTGAACAGGAATTGTGTTGCTACAACACCCTGAGAGCCAAAAAGACGGGAATGTTTTAAGAGGAGGAAAATCAAGAGTTAAGAGAAAAGCTAAACTGATTAAAGATTAAGAGGCCACGAGGTGGCCACTACTTCACTGTCGGCCTAAATGAAGGCACTGGACCCACGCTCACAGTTTGGGACACTGGGTACTTTTAGAGGGAAGACGGAGAGAGCAAGAAAATGGATAAAATTTGAGGGACAAGTGAGGCTGTGGGAAAGCTGAGCGAAGGTTGTCTGAGTGTGCTTACAGCTTGTAATTATTCGGGCTAGTACGCTCTTCAAAATCAATGTGCTAATAAGGTAAATAAATGAAAGGTTTTATGTTATAAAAACTTTAAAGTAAAAAACAATAAAAATTATCTAAAAGATATGTTACCTTTTACAGGTACAAATATATTCAGAGCTTGATTTCTATGATGAACGAACTACCTAGGTTCATTACTTTTTGGAAACTAGTGTGGGATGTTATTATATAAATATTAAAATTAATCATTGACTCAAAATAAAATAGTGGAAAGACAATAAACTGAGACAAAAATTTAAGTTTAAATCCTATTTTTGACTGTATTAAACAAACTACCCAAATGGTTATGCAGAGTTAGGAATGTTCCCAGAGAGCTTCGTGTATGTCAACTCTAAAGTTGACAAGAGCCAAATGCCATCACCCTACGAAGCTAAAGAGCAAAGACAGCACCTAGCCCACACAGCAATGTCTTACTTGGATTGCATGTTGGACCAGCTGGACTCGCCCATCTTTGAGGTGAATCAAACTCACCCCCATCTTCTTCAGGATTTCTAAATGCTCAGGGTTAGTGGCCATAAAATCTCTGGCTCTCAGAGGAGGTTTAGCTCCACTTCTGAAACTCTCCTCTCTGCAGAAAGGAATCAGAAGCAAGGTTTACAACTGTGCGTTACAAGCAGTGAAATGTAAAAACCAAGTAAGAATAATCTTAGTCGATATTTGCAGAATTGCTAATTTCAGAACTAGTGAAGTTTGGGTAATTTATTTTCCTATGTGTAATCTGATTACTAACAAACCGTCACTTTTGTGGGTGTGCACGTATTCCAATAAAATAGATCATGTATGCTGTCTTTCTCTAAAAACATATTTTTCTCATATTTTTTCAGTTTTAATTTTTTAAAATTGTATGTCTATTGTTTTGTCTGCGTGTATGTCTGTTCACCATGTGCATGCAGTACCCTTGGAAGCCAGAAGAGGGCATCCGATCCCCTGGGGCTAGAGTTATAGATAACTGTGAACTGCCCTCTGGGTACAGGTCTTCTAGAAGGGCAGCCAATGCTATTAACCACTGAACTACCTCTCCAGCCTTCACAATATTTAAAAGCAAAACAATATTTTCATCAGTGGATAAAAATGCCCACTTCATTTTTTTTTAGCCCCCTTGTTATCAATGGCCTTTCTAATAACTATCTATATAGGAGAAAATAAGTTCATTTATGTGCCTCCCAAAAGTTTGGTTAACAATCAAGAAGCAAGTCTAAAAACAATAAAGACAAACCAAACCAAACCAAAGCTGCCTTTGTACTATGCAGAAACTACAGATGTACGGAGGAAAGCATTTTCTTGTACATACAAGACATAATGAAATAGTTGAATCTTTTGTGTCTAAAACTGAGCTAGAGAAATTTTAAAATGTTACATACTATCTGTTATTAAAAAAAATAGATAAAAGTTCACATAATTTCTATTCAATAGAAACTACATACCTCAGTATCTGATCTAGTGAAAGTCTTTCTGACTACTGTTACAGCTCCTGAAGCGCTCGGTTATTTACTGTGAATTAACTTAGTATTAGCAAGTATAAAATAACACATCTTACACTCTGATGATGCCTCTTGGACAGCTCTTATCCACCACATTTTTCAAGGGTTCACGGATGCTCTGAGCATACAATGGATCATTAGGAAAAAGAATCTGAGTGTTTGGACAAGTCCAATCAAAATTACTATCATCCAGTTCTGTGTATTCTGAGGTCTGAAACATAAAAAAATTATGTAACTAATAATAACAGTGCTATTTAATATTATGAGTATTATTCATACATAATATATTATATTTAATAATATGAGTAAAAAGAAACTAAAAGAAAACGAGATAATATTACAAGCACTTGCCTCCTACCGCGCTGAACGAATATTAACTGAACGAATTATGGGCTGCTTCTTAGAAAAATAAAGTGAATATATAGAAGTGAAAGGATGAGTAAGGCATTTAATTTAAAACTCACTGTGTTCTTCTTAGAGATGCTGCGATTTGTGGTTGAGAGCCAAAGGGGTAACAGATGAGCTTCTGTTGTAAAGATGTAATCCTCTATGTCAAAGATAATGTCTTCCTTATCAGCAAATAACAGATAGAGATACTTAAACATCTCGGCCAAGAAAAACGAATCCATTCTGAATTGAAAAGTCACAAATAAGTATTTTAAAATCCAAATATCAATCATAGAGACCATACAATTCAAACGGTCAAAGAATTACAGCGCCTCGATCCTCAACTCTCAGAATAACCTGGACTCAAGTATATTGCAATGGCATAAACTACCAGAGGAGCTGCCTACCTCACAGGTACATTAATCTCATCAAAACTTCACACCAGGCTTTTAACAGGCTTTCTACTACAGAGAATCAACAGCTCAGGGGTAATTCAGATGAAGTTTATTAATGAGTCCCATCTAAGCAGATCAGAATATGACCTATAGGATGATGTCAGTAGATCAGAATATGCAGCCTAGAACAGCCTGTCACTAAGAGCTCTCGAGTGCCATGTAGAGGGCACTGACCACAATCCCAACCCCAAATTCTTCCTCATAATTTGAATGGAAAGAAATTATATTTTTATGTATTATATTATATATAAGCTACAGGATACTAAAAATTGGTGGTTCAGCCAAAAGACTCCTGAGATGATATTTAACCCTATAATTTTGTAATATAAAGTTCTAAATTTATGCTTTAAAAATTAGCTTCTCAAGATGAATGCAGAGAATATTTTTTATTAGCAGGCTAGAGTTAAGTATCTGAGATTAATGGGATCAGTCACAAATTCAATGTGAGTTGAACAAAAGATAGCTAAAAACAAACGAAAAATCCTTAAGGGCAGTTAATAATATAGTACAATGAAGACTACAGTTTGAGAGGTAAAATGCTCCCCTGTGAAACAATGAAACCATGGTCTTCAGTGGGATAGAAAGTATACACATATCAGCCACTCGCCCCAGTCAGCAACACCCAGCCTGACTCCAGGTGACTCCAGTGCTATTGTGCTGGGTCCACCCTGAGCATAATTAGTGCTGTGTGTGTGTGTGTGTGTGTGTGAGAGAGAGAGAGAGAGAGAGAGAGAGAGAGAAATTCCGTTTGAAGCTAAGGAAGAAATTCAGTACTTAACACACCCATCAAGCTACACCCCAAAAACAGAATTCAAGAGGTAGTCTACCCACTGGAGAACAACCAGAAAGCAGCAAAGGCAGTGGTGAGAAGCCCAGCAACAATGCCATGACAACCTGGTAGCGAGGGAGAGGAGGTTGGTAAATTCTGAAAGACGAAAGCTGTCACAGAACGGACCACCTGGACCTCTATTCCGCAGCATGTCCCCACTGCACCACAGCTCTAGCCAGTGATTCCTTACACCACTGCCTGCTCCTGACTGCAAAGCCTCGGAGGACCAGGAGTGGGTCTCATCTATCAACCCTGACACTTACGTGCAGTGCTGGGCATAGAGTGGGCACATTAACTATGGTTCACGCTGCTGTAACATAGTACTAGCCTCATCAGAGGCCTTTGCCTCTCTAAGTTCTTCCCCTTGGTTTCTTCATCTTTAAAATGAGGATAGTGGTGGAATTATACTCCCAAGAGTTGCTAGATCACAAGAGTTAAACATAAAAGGGCTCAGAAGAGCACCTGGAGAGCAGGGAAGTGTTAGTCTGTCTTTGCTTTCCTTTTCTGCTATTCGTATGCTCACCCCCAAACCTAGCCATTCCTCATCAGCCACAATCAGGGAAGGGAGTCCCAAGCCTAGGAACTATTTCTGAACACCCTGAGAGAAGGACTAAGGGCCAGCCTTGTGAGACTATGAGTACTGTGTCCCTCATGTCTATGGTGCCTTTGCCTACATCCATTTTTCCCTTCTAACTCCTGCTCATCTATCAGGACTCAGGATTCTCCAGCAACATTTTAGTCAAGATCACAGAAGCCTGCATGGTCTGCAGCACATCTGAAAGTCTGTTTATACATGCTTGTCTTCACTAATGCAGTAGCTCAAAGGGCATGACTTTGTCTAATCTTTAAAACTAGTATAATGATGGCTCATAACGGCCCTTACGAATAGTTACAAAATAGACCTTTCCTAGCCAAGTGCAAAAACAAGCTTGTGGTCATCAGAGATATGAAGTCTAACTAAATAGCAGGAATGTGACAACCACACTGATCAATATGTGTGCCCTTTGTCATGTGAGTACTTCATGGCACATCTATCTAGTATCCAGTGGAATATTCTAGTACTCAGAAGCTACCACTGGGCTACCACTAGGGACAGATCAGAACGCACACTGACCGTGACTATGTTGTTGAAGAATTCTTGACTTAACACAAACCATAATCCAGCTCTTTTATTATTCTGATAAGTTCTTTTACATACTATTTTAAAAAACATTACAGCATAAGAGACAATGTTTCTATGTCCCTAATAACAGGTTCTGATAAATAATCTTTATGTATCTACTTAATAACATCAGAGTTCCTACTACATCCCAAGCACTGTGACACACACACACACACACCCCACTGCAATTTAAAACGAGTGGATCCAAGAGTTTTTGAAAACCAAGCACAATGAGCTAAGGTTGGCAGTCTCAAGGACTCTCCACTGTCTCTGAGCCCTCACAAGCAGCTGTATTCTGTGCTGTACCCGTTGTTGAGGAAAGGGAGTAAGTGCTTGTTTACCTGTCCTCATGACTCCCAGTGCGAACATCCTTCATGGCAGCAAATCCACAAGGCACTCGAGCATATTTATTCAAATTCTCAATAAGTGTTTTTCCTACTTCAAGGTAGTACGGGTCTCCTGTAGCCTATTGAAAAGGAGAATACAGACATAGCATATATGCTGTCATATATCCATTTATTCATCCAGTAATTACCGAGACCCCCTAGATGCCAGGCCTCATGTCAGGCACTAGAATGCATGTTACAAAGGACACAGATTGGGAAAGACACGATGGGTTTGGTTTACAGAATTCCTTAGACAATTGAAGCCATAAGCTTCAGCCTTTAAGTTACATTTCTAAATGCTCAAAAGAGCTCCCAATTGAAGTGGGGAGGTTGCCTTAGGACACACATCCATAAATAAAATTTCCCTTTGAAAGAAATCTTTGCAAGTGGTTTTTTATTTTCATTTTTTCAGTTTTCATTTTTGTTCATCACCCTCTTTTTACAGCAGAGATGTTCAGTGTTCAGGAGGGGCTTACTTATAACCCAGTTGGGATCTTAATTCCCCGAGTCTGGGGTTTGGAGCTGTAGCCTCTATCCCGATCTTCAGAAGGACTCTTGAAAAGGTATCACATTTACAAGAAATCTTACATCTTTCAACAATTAGATAGCCAAATGAATAGAAATAATAATAAATCCAACCATTATAACACTAAATACTAACTAATTGTTATTGTAAAAGAGCAAGAAAGTAGGGGAAAGCCAAGAACAATAAGTTATCTTACTTTATATAAGAAGTAGGTACTTTCTGCAAACTCTGGCCTTAAAGGATGCTGAGCCCAATGGACCCTGAAATCTGTAGTAAATGCCTGTACAAAATAACATATAAGCATAAAAATGTGACTGAAAATTAAACAAGCAGTTCTAGACTACAAAGCAATATGTACAAGAGGTAAAAATAATTAATATACAAGTCATGGTAAACTTTCATCCATAACATACTATTGTTGCTAAAATACATTTTAGAACCAAGCCTTTGAGTTATTTTTATTGTGTGATCATGTTCATGTATGTGTGTGTTCACATATGTAAGTATGGAGGTCAACCATGTGTGTTGTCTCTTGAGACAGAGGGTCTGGCTGGCCAGTGAGTCCCAGAAATTCACTCACCTGTCTGGAATCACAGGTGTGCACTACATGGGTTCTGGGAATTAAACTCAGGTTTCCATCCTTGCATTGCAAGCACTTTACCAACCCTACCTTACCTTTAAATTACCAACTGGACCAACAAGGAACTCAGAAAAACCCAGTAATGGCACTTAGAAATGCCAATAAATACAACCTACATTGTCTAATAACTGAGTTTTCCATTTGCTTCTTTCCTTTTCTCTCTGAATTAGTACTTTTCTGGTGTTCTAATTTCCTTTGATTTCTTTAATTGACAAAACTGTGTTTATTATGATGTACAGCATACTGTTTTCATATACCTACACAGAGTGAAATGTTAAATCAAATAATTATGTTTTATCTAACACACCATTTTTGAGGGATGCTTAACACTTATTCTCTTCTGTGTATTTCCTATTGTATTTTCAGCTATGTATTTTCTACTCTAGGCAGTTTCAAGTATGTATATTTTATTGTAGCCTGTTTCATTTTATAATAATGTCAAATCCTCAGTAAAATAAATCAAAGAATTACTTAAAATTAAAATTAGTCTATATGAAATTTAATCAATAACAGTCAACAGTGTTTGCTGTGGGACAATGGTCTTGTACCTGTAAAGTTTTGTCAGTTGTACTAGTTTAATAAAATGCTGACTGGATAGTAGCCAGGCAGGAAATATAGGCGGGACAACCAGAACAGAATTCTGGGAAGAAGAAAGGATCAGTCTGCAGTTGTCACCCAGACACAGAGGAGCAAGATGAGAATGCCTCATCGATAAAAGGTACCGAGCCATTTGGCTAACACAGACAAGAATTATGGGCTAATTTAAGATGTAAGAGTGAATAAGAAGCCTGAGCTAATAGGCCAACCAGTTTATAATTAATGTAGACCTCTGTGTGTTTCTTTGGGACTGAACGGCTGTGGGACCGGGTGGGACAGAAACCTCCATCAACAAGTGTTTTTAAGCTTTTTATTTTCTGTGTATGGGTGTTTTGCCTATGTGTATGTCTGCACTGGAGTTAAAGATGGTTATGAATGGCCATGTGGTGGTGAGAAGGAAACCTGGGTCCTCTGAAAAAGCAGCAAGTGCCTTAAGCACTGAGTCATTTCTTCAGTCTCAACAGTTTTTTTTTTCTTTTTAAGTAATAAGAAAAGAATGTAAGTGATCAGTGTATTTAGTTGAATCCTCATGTGATTCATCAAAAATATGAGCTTTTTGTAATACAAAGCCTTGCATTTGAAGGTTAATAAAACTATACCTTCCAGAGCTAATGCCTTAGGAAACACCTATGTTAGTGGAAAGTTTATATATTTCACAGAGAACAGAAAGAACAAGGCAACACGTCACAAAATGTGTAAAGGTACATTTCTGGAAAGCCAAAAAGGATGATTTCAGTATCTCTTTACATCAGTGTAGCAAAGACAACTATCATGGATGCAAGGTTGTTAAGAAGAAGAGCAATTTCCAGTCAGCATGAAGACATTCTCGATATTTTTTTTCCCTTAAGATTTTCGAGACACAATTTCTCTGTGGCTTTGAAGCCTGTCCTGGAACTAGCTCTTATAGACCAGGCTGGCCTTGAACTCACAGAGATCCGCCTGCCTCTGTGCTGGAATTAAAGGCGTGCGCCACCACCGTCCGGCTTATTCTCAACATTTTTAGGATGCGTTATGATAACCAAAATTATACCTAGTGTACATAACTTTCATCAAACAAGCTTCAGAATATAAACGGTAGTAAGATCTACCAGCTAGTATGCATCATAAGCTAGAATGGGGCCAGCAAGATGGCTCAGCGTGTCAGGAGGCTTGCTGTGCAAGCCTGACATGAGTTCAATCCCTGGAAACACATAAAAGTCAAAGAAGAAAAGTGACTACACAAACATGTCCTCTGATTGCCACATGGGCACTGTGGTATACATACACTGCCCCACAGTCACCAGCTGTGCACACACACATTTGCACATGATAACATTAAAAAAATTTTTTTCAAAGTAAGAATGAGACAGTTTTAGGGCTGGGAATACACGTCAGTGGTAGAGCACTTTCCTAGTGTGCACAAGGGCCTAGGTTTGTTCCCCATCAATGCACAAATGTTTAACAGAAACCAAACAAGAGGTGATAGTTAATGGTACATCGGCATGAGTTAAAACAGGTTATATATATAAAATATATATAAAATATAAATATATATAATATAAATATATCTTTATATATTATATATAAGTATATAAAATATATAAATTTAAAGGAGTAACCACATCTTAAGGATATTTTCTATCTTTAAATTTAGAAATTATATATAGATATAGATAAATATATATAGATAGATATAGATATATGTAGACATATAGGTGTGGTGTGGTGTGTGTGTGTAGTGTGTGAAGGAGAATTTCAAATATTATTTGCTTACCTCTGGTAAAAAATTGTGTTTTTTAATCACCTGGTATAACATTTCATGAGTTTCAATAGCAGGTCTAATATCACCCTTTAAGACCTAGAAGTCAACAACAAAATCACTTAGTATAAAGCATGAGCTAATTTTATCTATAATCATCACATTATAAGATTAGTATAACCTTGAAATAATAACTTTATCATTCGATTTTAGAGATCACAAATGTATTGAATTAAGATAATTTCATCCTAATATTAAGAAAATGGTCTCTTTACCTGCAAACCTGGAAAAAAGGCAAGCAGAGAATCCATCCAGGTCCGAGCATTCAGCATTGGCTTATGAATGTGCACATCAAGTAGGAGAGGCGGCTGGCTAATATACCTCATTATGGCATCATAGTGCTGAAAGATCACAACAAAATGCTCAGGAAAGTAGATGGAAACAATACTATACGGCACAGTAAAGGAATTCATCCTGAATAGATATAGAGATAAAATCCCTATATGTCAATCGATTATGTAAATATTTAGAGGGAAAGAAACGATTATTTTGCTATAGATTTTCTCAGTCTGATGCAGAAGTATGACTATAGTTCAGTGGAAGAATGTTTGTCTAACACACCCAAGGTTTCAAACCTAGGGCATGTGCACACGCACACACATACACACACACACAGATCACAATTTATACAAATATCTACTAAGATGCTGAAATGATTTAAAAGAAAACTGCTGCTTCACGTATATAAGCCGCTAGGATGAGGCCAACCCTCTTCTTCCCCAAAGCTTCTCTCTCTGGTTCTTGTGGTTCTGGTCTGGGGTGATCAAGACTGAGCCAAACTTCCAACATTTCAAACAGAACTGGAACCCAGAAGTGAGACTTAGCTATACCTCATTCCAGTAACTGTCCACTATGTTCAGAATAAGATTAAGTCAAACCCAAACGTACTGGAATCACACAGTGCCAGCTACACATTTCCTGATAGAGGATGAAAAGGGAACTTTCTCGGAGTGCATCATTCACACATTGCCCAGTCCAGCACCAGAGACGGCTAAGGAGCTCAACAACACATTAAAGACAAACTTGTAAGGTCACTGAGGTTGTTAAGTTTTCATCAATCTTGGACTCAAATGGAATTAGCTACAAAATTAATAGAAAAATAAATCAACTTACTGTATTAAATCTTTCCAGAAAACTGTCATCTCCAAGCAAGACATAGGCTTTCAACAGATACTCATAATATGAATCAATCCCTGCTCCAACTCCACTGTCTACAAGAAATACATATAAATATAGTCCTTTATTAAATATGTCTGAAAATGCATAGGTACAAACGAGGACACTAGTAAAGCAGACTGAAAATGATGTGCCACCATGAAGCTTTAACATAAAACTGGACACCCGCAGAACTCTAACCCTGCCTGCTATACGAATAACAGCTCCCTTGTTGCAAATAACTTGTTTTTCAAAGTTGCTATATAAAATTGATTACAATTTTTTCTTATTTAGAAAATTTATATCAGCATGTCTAAGTTATATGGAGGACAAGTTAACAGTGATTTAACCAACACAAATCGAGAAATTAAAGTCTCTATTAAAAAAAAAGAAATCAAGTTTTAGCAATTAAAAGCAAACATTTTTTATTTAAAAAGCCCAAAACTGCTGAAAGGAAAAAAGAAACTTGTACCTAAAATTGTAACAATATTTTTGTAAGTTTTTTTTGTCTTTGATATTTATAGTCTTCCAGAAAGAAAGAACAGATCACATATTAGGACACAGAAATAAAAACAATATCACATTTTTTATTTTTCGAGACAGGGTTTCTTTGCAGCTTTGGAGCCTGTCCTAAAACTAGCACTTGTAGACCAGGCTGGCCTCAAACTCAGAGAGATCTGCCTCTGCCTCCCAAGTACTGGGATTAAAGGCTTGTGCCACCACTGCCCGGCTCAATCTATATATTTTAAGTTATATGCAAAGTACACATAACTAAAATAATGCTGTGGGATATCTTTCTATATGCTGTGAATATGTGTTGCTCTCGTTGGCTGATTAATAAAGTTGCTTTGGCCTGGCAAGACAAGATGGATCCAGGTGGGAAATCCAAGCAGAGATACAGAAAAAGGATAGAGTCTGAGAGATGCCAGCAGCAGCCCAAGGAGCAATGTGCCAGAGCATCCCTGGTAGTACCATGGCTATGTGGCAATAGAGTAATAGAAAAGGGTTGAGTTTATGATGTAAGAGCTAGTTAGTAATAAGCCTGAGGCATCAGCCAAACATTTATAATTAATATTAAGCCTCTGAGTGGCTTTTCAGGAACTGGTGAGCAGGAGAGAAACCTTGTTACAAATACCTCAATGAAGTTTGCTATTATTTAAATAGTGAGGGAGGAAACAAAAGAGGGGAGAGGTAGAAAGAGAGAACAAAAAGCCTGAGGGGGTCAGTCAGAATGAAATATTGATATAGTATTGATATAGCAGAAAAGGGTTGGGGAGGGGGAAACAAAGGGATAAGAGAACACATCAGCTTGTATTTAGAGACGTATATATCAATCAAAAACAAAAGGATAAAAAAAACAAAAAAGATGCAACATACTGAAATAAATGAGCCTACATGTATTAAAAAGACTAACAGATTAAAATATGAAAAGCAAAACAATCCATCTAGATATGTGCAAATTCTACAAATGACACATTCACAGCACAAGAAGTGAAAACAGGAGGATGGGGAAAGGTGTATCTGGCAAACGGCAAGGTAAGGTCTCCATAGGACTTGATGGAGAGGATCACCACACAGTGTTCAGCTAAGAAGAGACAGCAATCTAAAATGAATGCATCCACCATACTAAATAAAATATATATAAAGCAAAAATAGAATGATAAAAAAATCAATGCTAGAAATTATCTACTTTAATTCTTGACAGGTTAAGCAAATAGAAAATCAGTAAGATCTCTACATTGTTGATAATTGAGTGGAAATGTAAATTAGCCCAGCCACTATGAAACTCAGTATGGATTTTAAAATTTTTGATTCCATTCTTCTGACCAGAAGAAAATACCTTTCCCTTAATAGGCCCCCAATACCTCCATAACATTCCCCTCTCTGAAAAGGCAACCCTAAAATCATTCAGTAGACAGCTGAAATCAGGGACTAAAGCCCACTTTCACCATGAAAACTGTTCACAGAAGGGATGAGTGTCTGGACTGGAGCTCCACTCCTGCCCTTGTGTATAGTCTACAAGACAGAGCTATCTTCTGACACTTCCTGTCCAGAAAAACAAGGGTGCATCTGGGAATGCTCCTTTTGGGTTTCCAGTCCTGAGCTGCTTGTGCAGTCTCCGCCCTTAAGAGTTAATATAGCTGGTTGATCAATCACCCAGTGAAGGCACCGCCCCTTATGAAGGCTGATTTGCCTTAAGCCATGTGAAAGAGATGGGAGGAATAATTACCCCTTTAATGAGATGATGTGCCCTTCCCAGAATTTCTGCCTTCTGTGCACACCACAGCCATGGAGCTGTGTAAGTGTGCCTGTTTTCCTGCATTCCTTTTGTTCTTTTTAAGTGTTTTCCCTAACACTTTGGGCTTCATTCTTTCTCTAAAGCTCCCCTCCCACCATGTGGCTTAACTCAAACAGCACAGCTTTTTCTCTTTTGTTTCAAAAATCTTCCTCCTCCAGGCAGCTGCTAAGATTTACAACTTGTCTGCTCTTGGGTTTTTCTTTTAAACTCTAATTAAATTGTCCTCAAGCAAAGAGAAGGGGGGGGGGGAGAGAGAGAAAACCTTAGAAATCGGACTTACCATATGATCCTGCTATACCTCTCCTGGGTGTATATCTGAAGGACTCAGTTGGCACAGAATAGAGATAGCTACATATTTACTGCAGCACTGTAGCCAAGCTATAGTGTCCAACAATGAACAGCTGAAGAAAATGTGTCTGTGCACATGCATGCACTCAGTCACAAAGAATTGAATTATGCTGAGTGGCGGTTTGAAGAACCCCAGAGGTTCATATATTTGAATGCTTAATTAGGGTGTGACACTATTTGAGAAAGATTAGGAAGCTGTGGCCTTGTTTGAGTAGGTGTGGTCTTCTTGGAGTAAGTGGTCACTGGGGGTGGGCCTTAATGTTTCAAAAAACCCTTGCCAGACCCAGGGTCTCTCTTCCTGTTGCCTGGGCATCAGGATATATTATCAATGAATACATGATGAATATCTTTAGAAACAAATTCTCTCAGGCTAGATTCTAGAAGTAAAGTTGTTAGTCAGGAGGACTAATACCATCAGTGACATTCTGGTGTAGGAGGTCCTACTGTCTATGTGTTGCTTTCATTGGTTAATAAAGAAACTGCTTTGGGTCTATAGCAGAGCTGTAGGGGAACAGAGCTAGGCAAAGAAAACTAAACAGAATGCTGGGAGGAAGAAGGTAAAGTCAGGGAGACGCCAAAGATCCGCAACCGGAGGCAGACTGAAACTTTGATGCTAAAACTGTGCTGGTAGTCCATGACTTCGTGGTGATGCACAGATTAATAGAAATGAGTTAAATTAAGATGTAGAAGTTAGCCAATAAGAAGCTAGAGCTCATGGGCCAAGCAGTGATTTAAATAATATGATTTCTGTGTGATTATTTCGGTGCTGGGTGGCTGGGAGAAACAAGTGGCCCTCTCCCCCAACATTTTATAGTATATAGCCTGCACATAGCCAGGACTGTCCTCAGGATGCCACACCAACTCATGGAACCTTCACAGTAACTCTGAAGTGGTACTAATGCCCCATCTTACAGACACGATACAGAGGCAAACACAAGTGACATAATTTGCTTAAATTCCAAGAACAGGACTCCAGAGTCTATGCTCCACTTTCCAGAGGCAGAACACATACACACACAGTCACAGAGGGAGAGACGGGGGACTGTGACATCACTAAACTGTGATGTGAGACAAAGTGTTCTGACCCCTTAATCCTCAAAGAAACCAATGTCTTGTCTCTCCCCACACCTGCAAACGCTATATGACTAAAGTATAAAACAATGCTGCCCCGATCATCTTCACAAAGGAAAATGCTGTATATACGACCATCCCAAGAATGTGAAGGTCTGATTTTAAAGCCCACTTGCATACCTTTGCGAACCCAGTCTCCAGTGTGAATATTGATAGTCACGCCTACTAAATTGCTACTTCGTTGTCTTTTTTCCCACAGAAAATCAAGAGCTTTCCTTGCATATTCCTACAATTAAAAAACAAAAGCATATTTGAAGAACTTTGTCTCTGTCAAAGAGGTGGGAAAACTATAAATCAAAGACCACAGAATCTTTTAAGAACTAAGCAAAATTCTTAAGATAATCACTTATAAATTTCCTTGAAATTTTGCCTTGACTCTTTTTCAGCCACTTCATATTAGGAGATTTCACTTGGAGAATATCCATGGCCATTTACTCTTGTAGCATGGTTCACATTCATACACGGATCATTATATTAAACTGATACAATTAAATACTCCTGTTAAAGCGATTATTACCACCTAAGTGCAAAGTGGAACTCTCATAAGGTGGTCTTATTTAGCAAATTTGAAGAGAATTCACAGCTAATATGCTATCTTTGAAAGTCATTTCAGACATTTTTTAAGTGAGGCATAATTTTATTAGTGGAAAATTAGCAAATCAACTAGGCTAACTGAGAACTTATTTGTATATTTATGTATATATAAAATTATAACCTTATAACCCCTTTTTTCATTTGCTTTTACCCACTAAGTATTAAATTATTTCTTACAAAATTCTTAACTTTGAATAGAAAGATGCTATACATGGAATAGCAAATAATATCTACTGGTAAAATTCTAAATTAATTTTAGGACATGAACTAATTTAGTACTGCAAGCAAAAAAAGTCATTAAGCCTAATTTGCTACTTTGTAGATTTGGCAATGGAGTAAAAATCATTTATATTCTTGATAGCAAATGATGCATGGTAATTATATTTCAACAAAGTAGACCACGACTATCATTAAAGGGTGAATTTTCAGATCTGGAAAGTCTGATACTGGTTATATTTCCCCATTTCATTTTATAGCTTAAAAAACATGCAGTAAAATTAGATATTTAACTAAAGCTTAAAATTGAATTATAGGACACTAATACAAAAACTCTGATTTTTTTTTGGTTTTGTTTTTTATATTGGTCTCCATATATTAGGGTCAGCAAAGTTTTTCTGACAAGGGCAGACAGAAAATAGTCCAGGCACTGAGTCGTCCTGCCACTGACCACGACTTCTCTGCAGAGAGACAGAAGTCACTGAGCACAGCTGGGCTTTCACACTGACTTGAAGAAGACAGTCCACAGCTTAGCCCTGCGGCAGCCAACTTCTGTCAAAGGCTTTTAGGAGGTTTTTAAAAACATATTTTTCTTTTGCAACATATATATTCAGAAAAACAAAACAGGCCAATGGAAAGAGTAAAGACATGGACTCTACTTCCAACTTCATTCATTCACCCACGGACTGAGATTTATCTACTGGGACTCATTTTCGCCTATTAATGCACCAATATTTCAGAATATTAAAATTTAATATTAAAACACATATTAAAACACTTAATATTTAATTAATATTATATTAAAACATATGTATAAGTACCTGTACTGTTCAATGAAGGGAAACTACTAGATGATAGGTATATTTTAAATTTTAAGTTTAAAACATTAACCAATCACACCTGATAATCACACCTGTCCTCAAGGCACATGAATGTATAAGCATCCACTTATACCCAGACAAGTACAGGGCACAAGATCTTGCTGACTTAGTTCACATCCTTATCCAGTATCTGTAATGGTGCTTTGTGTTCCCTACTTCTGCTCTGTCCATGTGACCATCTTATGACTTAAAAAAAAATCATCTAAGTCAAGTGTCTAAGAAAGTAGGCATTTAAGTAACTCTTGCATTTTGATGATAATTACATTAAAATAAATAGTTACATTAGATATTTTAATGTAAGACAGAGACAGACCCTAATAAAATATGTGGGCCAATATAAGTCTTGAATAATGAATAACTCTTCCTTTGGAGTAAACAAATTTACACATGAGAGTCTTGATCAAGGCTTGTGTACAAAAGTTTCACTATGGGTTTAAATGATTTGTGAAGGTTTCAAAAATACAACAATATGATTAAAAGTACATTAAATAAACAGTAATCCTACAACGGCGAGTCCTAATCCTTAGCCAACCGGAACAAACAGAAGGTTAGCTCCTCCTGAACCCCAGATGAAAAGCCACGAGAAGCAAACCTCAAATATTGTTGCTCCTGTGAACCGACTCAATGCAGCAAACTCAAGAATCAAGGTCCCCGCACAGGCTGTACAGGTGTCTGTCTCAGTTCCCGTCCGGGCTTCTGGCTTTCTGATGCCAAACTTTAAATTAATCTAAATACAATGAGAATGTTACCATGAGCAACTACAAAAAGAGATGAGTTTCCAACCAGTCACTGTCAAACATCTAGGAAAATACGTTCTGAGCATACAGAATTTATAGGGTAAATAAGTTCTCATTTATTTTCTTCCCGAAGATGTAATAATGCAACATCATTATAATAATATAACCATCAAAAGGGTAGATCAGTCTAGAAGAAATTACACTTGAGAATTTACGAATTTAGTATAGTGTTAAACAGTTCATAAAGAAAAATTTGATTGTTATGGTATATATTTAAAAGACATTAAAATTTTGTTTTATAAGTTTTTATGAATTAATTTATTCTTTGACAATTTCATACATGTATACAATACATCCTGATTACTCGTTAATCCACCCTGGTGCTCCTTCCCCCACTAAGTCCTCTTCCCACTATTATTCCTTCATTACATTCATTATTTATTGGCTGTGGAGGCACACGCAGGCCACATTATGCATGAGGCAATCACAAGACAACTTGGGGGAGTCAGATCTCTCCTTCCACCAAGTGGACCCTGGGGATCAAACTCAGATTGTCAGGCTTAATGGCAGAGCCTTTATGTGCACTGGATCACCTCACCAATCTCCATCATGACTTTTTATTTTTGTTCTGAGACTCACTGAGTTTAACTAGGGCTGCCCACATGAGTATGGAGCTATCCAGTGGAGCATGGGGAACTCCGCAGTGGCTACACCACTGAGGACATTGACTCCCACCTCAATATTTATCCCCTGATCAATATTTATTATCTACTGTATAGTAGATAATACAATAAGATACAAAGAAATTGATCTTTGCCTTCAAGGAGCTTAAAATCCAGACAGAATAAATAGGATGGGTATGAAAATAGAGAATATAATGGAAAAATCACAAATAAGTGCAAAAAAATCGAGGAACTGATAAAAAAATGTGAGAAACAAGGAGATAAAATATCACTGGTTTGGGCGTAGTTGCAAATTAAGAAAGATGGCTGATCAGATCATGAACCCTAAAGGAGAACCTATGACTGTCACTGTCCTAAACCAGTATAATTCCCAACTGCATTCTCAATACTTATCCCAGTTCCCACAGACAAGCATAGCTCCCTCATATCAAAGAAGCTTCTTCATCAGGCAGTAGTGGCTCAAGCCTTTAATCCTAGCACTCGTGAGGCAGAGGCAGGTGGATCTCTGTAATTTCAAGACCAGCCTGCTCTACAAAGCAAATTCCAAGACAGGTTCCAAAGCTACAGAGAAACCCTTTCTCGAAAAAACAAAAACAAGAAAACAAAAGCTTCTTCTGCAGCAAGTGGAGGCCAATACAGCAAGCACAACTGGTCAAAATGCAGAAAACAACTGACCATTGAGTGCCCAGGCCCAATCAATACATTTACAACACAACTCCTGCACCTATAGTTCAGGGAACACCATGGAAGAAGGGGTGGAAAGACTAAGAGCCAAAAGACGAGGGAGTCTTCTATATATGACAAGGAAGCTACCTCTGAAATCTCAAGAATACAATTGCCTAAACAAGATCCACAGATCTTCTGACATTCTAGCATAGATGGAAAAAAATTTCACAAGGATATGCCTAGATGAGGAACTACAGAAAAGTAACAGCTGTTTAGTTAAAAAAATGAAAATAAAACAAAAACTAAAAGTAAATTCAATATATTACATATTGCTTTAAATAGTTTTGCATCTAAGTTTAGTAAATTAAGGGAAAATGACCAATTAACAATGCAATTAGTAAACAAAGAAATTCTTAATTTAAAATGACTGTATAGCGTTGATGTCACACGCTTCCTAATACTTGAGTATTTGGTAATACTCAAAGTCTTAAAAAGCATTTCATACTTCTTTTCTCTAGGAATTCATACAAAAGGAAAAAAATAAAAAACCTACAAAAAGGAAGTATGTAAGATTGTTTACAAGAGAGCTATTTAAAATACTAAACCTGGGGCCAGGGAAAGGGCAGTCAGTGCCGCAGCATAGGCATGAGGACCTTATTGGGGGTGGCAGCATGCTCCTATAACCCTGTATTTGTATAGGCTCATACTAGCCTAGGCAAACTAATGAGCTCTAGGATCAGTGAGATCCTGTCTCCAAAAAAACAAAGACTGAAGAAAGACAGCCAACCTCTACCTCGTCTCTGCACCCAACCTGCCTTTCACACACACATGCACCAACTCGTATGTATATAAGCATGTGCTCACACTAACATACATACAGTGTGCACATACAGAAGAAAAAAAAAGGAAAAATATCCAAACTAGAAATTTAAATAAAAAGGGGTTTAACTCTAGTCTTTCATTAAAGAAATGTGCCAGGTGTGATGACTCACATGGTGGGAATCAATGGATATGATGACCTCTGGGTTGAGAAGCATATACCTGGCTCATGCTGCTCAATGACACTCGTCAACCATGATTCCTAACTCCAGAGAAGGAGCCTGGCTGGACTATACTCTCAGAGAAGCTACGTCAGGCAGTAGAGAGCATAGGCCTAAAAGAATGCAATAAACAAGTCCCTGGGGGTTTGAGAGAGCACTAGGTATTGTTCTGAGTGGAAAACAGTTTCACTGAGGTACAGGAGCAGGCTGGTTGGAATGAGAATAGCCCCATAGGCTCACATCTGAATACTTGTATCTGGGAAGAATCAGGAGGTGTGGTCTTGTTGGAGGAGGCCAGTCACAGGACTGAGCCTGCCACCATCCCTGTGTGCTCTCTGCTGCCCACCCGACGTGTCAGCTCTTGCTGCTGCCATGCCTGAAGACTCTGGTATGATGGGCTCTAATCCTTTGAAACCATAACCTAACTAAACTCTTCTAGTTTTCTGTCATGTGTTTGTCACAGCAATACAAAAGTAACTATCAGAGAACACCAGACAGTCTACTGCCAAACTATAAAGATTTCTCAGTGTTAAGGGACACTCAATGGAGCAGAGAGAATGCAGAAGTTTTGAAAGCAATTTAATAAAAAAATGTTTTAGTAATTCTATTTTCCCAAATGTATAATAAGCTCTGTATAATAACCAAATTAAGAGAGTGCAGAGCAAGTGGCCCACACTGCAGCCCCTTTCCCCTAGTCTGCCCACCACAGGCTGTAAGGGTCACGCCCAGACACACCCCTCCTGCTGGAGCTTTTCTTAAGCTTGCTGCACAGTGCCTGCTCCCGACTGTCTTCCTCCACACCTCCCTCCTCTGGGAGAGTAGCAGCCACAACTCTGGCCCACACTGCAGTCTGTCTCCTCCTGCAGCAGGTCTACAGACACACTGAGGCCAAGGAAAGCTTATGCTAATCTAATCTTCACGTTGCTCAAAGTTACCAATACATCAATATAGCTTTGCAGCCAGCTTTGATGCATCTTTTTCCAGTTTCACACGGGAGAGGAACGCCTCTGATAACAGGAATTCATCCTGTAAATGACACAGAAGTGTCAAGAGAGTCACACTTGTTCACAGTGACTTACTCGCGGATAAGGAAGGCCACTGGTAGTATTGAAAGCTGGTAAGAGTCTGTAGCCCAGCTGCTTTGCCATTTGGAGAAGTTCATCATTGTACCACTGCATGTATTCACCTTTTTCTTTCAGCATGATCGCCAGGGAATGTCCACCTAAAAGACCCCTAGGATCAGAGACAAAACATTCCCTGTAAATTAATCACACATTTCTTTACAAGCTATACCCAAGAGGGTGTGAGCCTTCGTCCCCACAAAATGCAAACAAAACATAAGGAATGGCTACAGAATAATTTAATTATTTTTTTTGCTGGCTACTCATTTTATGACAAACTATTATCATAACATAACCAACATATTAAAAACAACAACAGAAACATTAGGGGCTGGAAAGATGGCTCAGTGGGTAAGAGCACTTGCTACCAAGGCTGCAGATCAGGGTGTGAACTACATTAGTACAAGTTGAGAACTGACTCCTTCCTACAAGTTGACCTACATGCACCTCTCCACAACACAACAAATAAATAAATGCAAAAATATACAAACTAATATAAAGTACTTAACATTCTTAAGTATCTTAAAATTTTTTTAACCAAAAACATACTAGAAAGCACATGTATTTTAACAAACAAGCCAAACGTTTTTAAAATAAATTTAAAGTTTAATTCTATCACCATGAAATCTTTGACTCTTACTATAAAATTTAAAAATTAAAAACACCTTTATCATCATTAAGGATTAATAATCTCTAAGGAGCAAGGACTTCTTACATTTAGTTGGAGAGAAGCTCACTTTGACAAGGAGATGGGACAGAGAATTACAAAAGCTACCAAACATAAGCTTACCTAATGGTGGGATGAAATAATTTTATAATCTCACACTTTAACCCTCAAGGGCATTTCCGACTGCCTGAGGAGCAAGATTCTTAACTGAGTCTCATCTGGCTTCTCTGTGAGGCTCCTGGCTAATGCTGACTGGCCAACTGTGGAGGCTCCTGGAAACCTCACCAGCGGTCTGGGTCTCTCCAAATACTGGATGTGTGTGTTACAGCATAATCCAAGGTTATCCCCATGGCTGTTACACAACAGTCCAGATTTTATCTTCTTTGCAAGGGAAAGTGTTGAGAGGCCTCACTCTAACTCAGGCTGGTAAGGGACTAACTGTGTGGTCAGGCTGGACTTAAGACTTCTTACTCTGCCACAGCTTTTAAAGCGCCAGGATCATAAGCCTGAACCACCATGCCTGGATTTCAATTTATGTATTTATATTTATTTATTTATTTAGTAAAACTTTATGTTTTGGGGTGTTTCAGCGGCATGAATGTCTGTTCACCATGTGCATGCAGAGTCCTTGGAGGCCAGAAGGCATCAGATTCCTCTGGGACTATCATTGGTAGTGATGGGCCATGTGGGAACTGCGACTTGCACCTGGGTCTTGTGCAAGCGTAGCTAGTGCTCTTACTGTTGAACCATCTCTCCAGCCCCCCCCCCCCCCCCCCCCCCGCCCACACACACACACACACAATTTTATCTTTTAAGCATAAGAAACTTCTTTACCACCTTCAGAAATAATCAGCCGGAGCTTCCCTACATTAGTACTATAGCTTTAGTGCTGCACACTTACCCAAGGACTCTGATGTTTGTTTCAAAGACTGACACAACTACATCATTATCTAAATTAACATCTCTTAAAACTTTCCTCACTGCGTCTTCAAATTCCTTCGTTTTGTTTAAAACCTAGGAAATGAAAAGAATGAAATAAGTCTTTTCTACCAAATCAAGAAAAAAAATATACTCAGAATGAGACACTAAGTTAATGTTAGCATACTTGAAGACTCAGAAAAATGATGCAACAAAATAATATACCCTTAAGTATTATAAAAAATGTGATAATGTGTAAAACTGAAATGTGCAAACAATGGAGCATCTTTACACACTGACAGACTTCCAGGGCTCTAAGGGACCTATCACAGGAATTCAGAGTGGACTCAATACAGGTTAGACATCTCTAAACCCAAAATCTGAAATCCAAAATGCATCAATCTAAAATTTTTAGGTTCTGAATATTTTGTTGGCACCACTCAAAATGTTATAGATTGCAAGCATTTTAAGTATTCAAGTATTTGGGGCTGCTGGATCAGGAATGTACAGCCTGTACAGACTATGACATGTTATAAAACACAAACTTCTAGAACCAAGTGATTCAGATAAAAAGACTCTTTTTCATACTTAGATGACAGTCAGGGATATATAGAGAACACTTTTCCTACTTCTAGTTCTTCTTCCTTAAACATTGTACATACTTGTATACATGCATACATTGTCCATGACCTACAGCTAGAGCCACATGAGAGGTCCTCTGCTGGGATCTGGCTTCTAAGTCAGACCAAAGGAAACATCATCCTGCTCATCAAGCATCATCTTAGCAACTAAGGTCCTTTGGGCTGAGGTGGCTCAGTGGGTATAGACAGGCACTCGCTGCCAACCCTGAATACCTGAACTTAATCCCTGAGAACCAACCCCTGCAAGTTGTACCACATAGTGTGGTACTTGCACCCACATACATATACACACAGAATAAACAAATAAGCGCGCGCGTGTGTGTGCGTGTGTGTGTGTGTGTGTGTGTGTGTGTGTGTGAAATAAAAAATTGCCAACTCCAAAAGAAAGTACTATCTTCACTTGACTAAGTCTAAGCCTTCACCCTATGCCACCCTTACCCCACGGGTATCCCACTGGCAAAAGAAGCAGTATAATGTTATGGTTAAGGACAGGTTCTGGTGTGAGTTCTGGTTCTTTGACCTCGGTGACTTGTGATTCAAGTGAAGTTACTTCCAACTCTGAGCATATTCCTTCATATGTGAAGGAAGGAGGACCTACTCCGTAGAGCCATTTTCTTAAAGGTGGTCATGTGTTACAGTACTTTAGCCAGAGTGTCTGACGAAAGTACTGATTTTCAATGTTTAATATCATCACTATTATAATCACGCAGTCTAGACTCGTGACTCAACTGAAACCTCTGTGAGTTCTTGGAATGAGCCCCATGCAAAGGGGTCATTGTCATTACAAAGGCGGCTTTCATTTTTCCATCTAGGAACACGATTAAATGCTATTTAGAGACGAGATGCAGTAAAAGAAGCTTGCCTTTGTTTAATCTTCCCTCCATTCTTCTAATCTGTTTCGGTAACTGCTGCCTTTTCAGATTTCACAGTAATCAGACTTAAAGGTGCAATGTTTTAATGTCTGATTCTATGACAACAGGGTGAAACTAGTATTTTAAACATTTTAAATTTAAAATTCCAACTATGGCAAGAGAAACTGACTTAACATATTATGTTATAAACAAAATAAAAATGGCTGGGTTCTGTACACTAATCAAAACAAGTGCTGGTAGTATTTTCAAATTGTTAAATCACAAAATTTAAAAATAATCACCATTTAAAAGGCAGATTCAATTAGAAACACTAATACTTGCATTGATAAAAGCATGCAAGATAATACCCCCACTCTAAGTACAAGAAAGCCTTTGAAAGTACCCTACTTTTCTCCAATTCCACTTAAAACCAAAAGAAAATACTTAAGAAAATGATTCAAGATTCAAAATAATTTGTTCATTTCCACTTCTACAATGATCTGTAGTTACTTTGGTTATTCCCACTTGAAAAGACTGAAATAAAATATTTTATAAAGTAGTATTTCATTTATTGCTATGTCTGTGTTTGTGTGTAGGCACACATGTGCCACAGTGTGTATATGTGTCAGAGGACAATTGGATAAGTCAGTTCTCCCCTTCTGCCATGTGGGTCCTGCTGGCCAGGTTGTCTGTCTGGGTGATAAACGCACCTCCTGAGCCATCTCACCAGCCCTCAATTTGTATTTCTAATTATATCCCAAACAATGCTGTCATTATTAGTCCAGAACTAGTAATAAAATTAATAGTTATAGTAATAAAATTAATAGTATTACTTGAGAACTAATTCTTTAAAATATTATCTTCATAATAATCTGTGGTTACCCAATAAGAGAAGTTGACAGATTTCTAAATATAGAACTGTTAGGCAGTCTAGAACCACCTTATCTCCTTTATGCCTGAAAATATTTTATAAAACAATAATAACTGAAGTCCATAGGAATGAAAATAAATTAAGACATTAAGATAGAAGCAAAAGGGCATCTGCTATCTGAAGGAATGAGCAGAACGAAAAAGAAGTGTCGGCATTCTCCAGTGTTGTCACTCACTGCTCCTGCTCCTGACCGCCCCATGCCGAGCCCTGTGCCTCACTCAGCTAGTTACACAGAAAGCACATCCTCCAGTCTCCTAGGTGACAGCTGTAGCTTCCCAGGGACTGTACAGCTCCAGAACAGATGCTTACATCTGCTGAGATATTTTGTGTATGTTCTCTCTTTTCCCTATGATATACAAAAAACCAGGGACCACTAAATCAGAAATACAACATCTAACAATATCTTTGCATTTTTATTCATCTTTGCTAAGTGAAGTTGTGACTTTCAAAACTCTAGTGCAGCAGAAAGGTCTAAGCAATCCACTTTCACCGTGGCTATAGTAACGTCAGAGGGAAGCAGGACTAACCCTCGCCAGAACAATCAAAGAGCAGTAACCTGAGTGGGTTATTTGTCTCTTTGAATGTTAGAGGCACTCTCTAAGCTGCTAACATGGTGAGATTTCTGTTTCAAAATTAAGAATGTGTGGCGGGGAAAATACAGGAAAACTATCAGGAAGGAAAAACTTCCTGCTACTTGAAAGATGCCTTATCTTCTTGGTTTTAATCAGCACTTGGAATGTTAACTTAAAGTGCATGTTTATCCTTAAAGAGAATCATGAATCATGCCACATTCCACGATGGTCTTAACGGTCCAATGATAAAACACTGGACAGACAGTATTTCAGCATCATGGCACCTGAATCACAGTCTCGCCCCTCTACACAAACAACTCCAAAACTAATACTCATTAACACGATTTCTATAGTACATGGGTTGGAAAAGAGAGCCAAAATTGGGCTGGGGAAAACAAGGTTTGTTTGTAAGCACAGCATAAAAACTTCAGCATCATGTGGCATATATGATACAACAAGAACAAAGTATTTTTCCAAATTACATTCTTTCAAAAGCTTTAACCTCCTTACCCAAAGGCAGGGGAGATGTGAGTTGACACCTTGATAAATTACTTGAGTATCTCCACTATGCTACATGATTGCATTTGACAATAATTTGACTTAACTCAGCAATGTTATATATTATGTAAAGTTCAAGCTTTATTGAGAAGTAAAGATTTGAACATCTTAAATTCTTATGGCTTCTATTCCATACATAGTATGCTGGTTACATTTATATTACTTGAGTGTGGATATCATGAAACTTATAAAATAAGCAAGTCCAAGAAAAATAGAACTTACCACCAGAGTATCCAAAGAATCGATCAGTGTTAGGGAAAACCTAAGAAACAAGTGTAACAAGATACATATAACACTAGAACTTGAAATGCTTCATCCATGTATGTGTAAGTAGAATTATCCACATCCTACTATAGTTTCTAGTAAGCAGCTCCTCCATGTATCTACAGTGCACCGTGATCTATAAAACAACCCAGCAACCTGAAACATCCTGGGTATCTTTGGGGATGTATTGAAACTGCATCGACTCCTTTTAAAACAAACAAAACACAGAAGCTCAATGTTAGGGGTCCAATCCCAGCATCACAAATAAATTAGTAATTATCAATTAAAATCTATCACATAGATGCATATGTAGTGGCCCCTTAGAACATGATGATGCCCGCATGTACATTTTACAGACATCAAAGTTACATAGCTCTTTTAACATTACACCCAGTTTAATAAGCTACCATTTCTCAGATATTAAGAAATAAGTTGCTTTTTTTAAAAAAAAGGAAGGAATAAAAGACCTTAATAAAATATTTAGAGAAGATTTTCTTTTCCTTTCTTTTTTAAGGCATTCTTTAAAACCTGGTCCACTGTGCTAGCGAGAGGACTCAGTAGGTAAAAGTACTTCAGTCCCCAGGATCCACATGGTCAATGGAGAGAACTGACTCCTGAAGATTGTCCTCTGACCTCCGCCACGGCATACGTGTCCACATGAACACACAATACACAAACAAGTGAAAAAACAGAATTTAAAGTTGGCAAAGCCCCAGAAATGTGGCTGTCAATTTTCTCTCCAAGTGGGGTCTGGCTACTCTGACATGCCATGTTAAATTAAGCCTCATGCTCATACTCACTTTCCCAAGGCATCATCTACATCACCCCGGCTCGGCTCCTGGCCTCGGACGCGGCCTCTACAGGTTAAAGGCATGAGTTCATCGGCTGGATAAGCATGTTCCTGCAGAAAAACCTTAATAAGTCACTAAAGAACGGGAGAGAAAGCAGACACCACTTAGAGGAAAGGACTTAAAAGGTGGACTAGCTACACAATTTGTGGACAACTGAAAATGTAACGCTTACTAGGAAAGAAGCATATTAAAATTTCTTTTAAAAACTGCCAATGTGATTTCCCTCCTGGAATCTTACTCTCTAGAAGTTACCACCATTAAGACCAGCCTTCAGTCCTTTAGATTTATTCATGTATTAATACACTCAAATACATGCACGTGTATTATTTCAAACATTTCTTTTTGAGACAGGGTCTCACTATGTAGCCTACATTGACCTGTTACCCACAATTCTCCTGCCTTAGCCTTCTGAGAACTGGTATTACAGGTACATACTGCCACGCGCAGATAAGAGCTGGGACTTATTTTATTTTATTTTTAACGTTTAACAGAACACAGATCAGTTTAATGGCTCTTACGGATCACAGTCCTTTCTCCTGGTAACGAATAGTAGAAGGGATATCCGGGTTTCTCCTATTTATATGTACGTGTACTGTTTGTGTGCCAACCCAGCGCCTGAGGCATATGAGACAAGCAAGCACTCTACAGTTACTGACCTACATCCAGAAACTGCATTCACAAACAGGTACTTACTGTCATCTATATCACTGGTCTCAAGTTTGTTTTATATTTTACTCAAAACACAAGGTACCCCTGTGGTTGTTTGAATGAGAAAAATATTGGCTCATATATTTGAATATTTGGTCCCCAGTTAGTGAAACTGTTTGGGAAAAATTAGGAGGTGTGTTCTTGTTGGAGGAGGTGTGTCACTGGGGCGTGCTTTGTGTCCCAAAACACACATCAGGCTTGGTCTGTCTGTTTCTCTCTGTAGGCAACTTTCAGATGAGATGTGAACTCTCAGCTACTGCTCAAGCCCCACGCCTGTCTGCCTGCTACCATACTCCCCACCGTGATAATAACCCTCTGAAACTGTAAGCAAGCCCCAATTAAATGGTTCCTTTTATAAGTTGCCTTGGCCATGGTGTTTCATCAATGGTAATCCAACAGTAACTAAGAGAATCCCACCACCCCAGCATGTTGGAATGTTTCAGAAATACTTTAATAACAAAGTGAAATTGTAACTCATATTTATTTTCTACCCTCTATCTATACATCAAGGAGTTTAGTTATTTCAACAATCCTCTGAGGGAAATTCAATTGTCTTCATTTCACAGGGAAAACCAGGACCAGGAAATAAGTAAGCCTAAGTTGAGCAGCCGACATGATGAATTCAAAATTCGAAGCTTGGTCACCGGACTCAGGAGCCCATACCTTTACACCCAAAACCAGCTCCTCAGAAGGTTGCATAGTACAGATACATTTATTTATTCCCATATGTATGACATAAAGAATGATCAGAAAACATCTGTAGACACAGTCACCTTTCATACATGTGTGATTTCTGTGGCTCACTTAGAAATAGATGAATCAAGGAGATATTGAATTTTTGATAGTTACTACCAAGCAGGATATCAATTTAGAATTTACTCTTATCATTTGAGATGATTGATGCTCTGTAGTTTGCCAATCTCCTGGGTTAAAAAAAAAAGTCTCAAGTTTGAGCATTAATAAGGATACACACCTTCTTATATTAGCCACTCTGGAAAAAAAGTCTATTTATACGCTACTAATGGCTACTTCTATTGCCAAAAGGGACTCAATTACTATGGTCTGTTATATACAAGTAAATATTTTTTATCCTTTCTTTGTTTAGTTTTTAATTTCTGTTTGCAGTGTTTTCACTATAAGCTTTAAGTATGTAGGTAAATCTATTCATTTTTTTCCTTCATGGTTTTTGGTTTTCAGGAATGCTCTGGGCCCTAGGAACATTACACACACACACACACACACACACACACACACAAATTTCATTACATACATACATATACACACATATATTTTGTTATACATACCTATACACACACATATATACACACACATACATTGTGTTTTATTTATATATATATACACATATACACACACATACATATGCATATACACACTACAATTAAGTATTTTTCTCTAAATGGAATTTATTTTACTCTTAATGTTTAATGCTATTTGTTCCTCAAAGGCCAATTTTCTAAAGTCTACTTTTTAAAGAATTCATTCTTTCCCAATTGTATGAAGTATCAACCAAATTACTGATGTAACTTAAGAAACTGGTTGTGACATAAGGGCCAAAGATGTCACAGAGAAAGTAATCCTGCAAAGGAAATTCTAGACATATTTCATGATACTAATGGAGCAAAGTATCAAATGCCCGCTGGTCATCCAGAATTAGAAAGAAATGCAATGCCTCCCATGCCTGGGAAGGTGCTTGTCCTGTGTTTTAAAAAAGCAAGTACTGCCTATACCTCCAGGAAGCTCTTCATAAAAACAGCAAAGGCCTTAGTTTCCAGTTTTTAATACTTTAAATATTAAAAATACTAATTAAGTTTACTATTTTTCATTTTTATCCATAACCAGCAGAAAATTTTGATAAGGACTGTGTGCTTGGTGTCTGGGGTCTCTACTTTCTACATGCAGTGAGTCTGGAGTCTGGGTAATAGAGATGTACAAGAGGCATGTAGAGATCAGACACGCAACTGGGAACATTTCTGTGAACTTTAAGAATTAAGAAGTATACAGGCGCCGGATAGAGATGACACACGCCTTTAATCCCAGCACTTGGGAGAAAGAGGTAGACAGATCTCTGTGAGTTCGAGGCCAGCCTGGTCTACAGAGCTAGTTCCAGAATAGCCGGGCTATTACACACAGAAACCCTGTCTTGAAACAAAAACAAAACAAAAAAGAACTCCATGGGCAACTGAGCAATAAAACAAGCCACACGGCAGACACGGCACAGCACACACGGCACACACACAGCACACACGGCACACACACAGCACACACGGCACACACACAGCACACACGGCACACACACGGCACACACGGCACACACGGCACACACGGCACACACACGGCACACACGGCACACACACGGCACACACGGCACACACACGGCACACAAGGCACACACACGGCACACACGGCACACACACGGCACACACGGCACACACGGCACACACACGGCACACACGGCACACACACGGCACACACGGCACACACACGGCACACACGGCACACACACGGCACACACGGCACACACACGGCACACACGGCACACACACGGCACACACGGCACACACACAGCACACACGGCACACACGGCACACACGGCACACACACGGCACACACGGCACACACACGGCACACACGGCACACACACGGCACACACACAGCACACACGGCACACACACAGCACACACGGCACACACACAGGACACACGGCACACACACAGCACACACGGCACACACGGCACACACACAGCACACACGGCACACACACGGCACACACGGCACACACGGCACACACGGCACACACACGGCACACACGGCACACACACGGCACACACGGCACACACACGGCACACAAGGCACACACACGGCACACACGGCACACACACGGCACACACGGCACACACACGGCACACACGGCACACACACGGCACACACGGCACACACGGCACACACACGGCACACACGGCACACACACGGCACACACGGCACACACACGGCACACACGGCACACACACGGCACACACGGCACACACACAGCACACACGGCACACACACAGCACACACGGCACACACGGCACACACGGCACACACACGGCACACACGGCACACACACGGCACACACGGCACACACACGGCACACAAGGCACACACACGGCACACACGGCACACACGGCACACACACGGCACACACGGCACACACACGGCACACACGGCACACACACGGCACACACGGCACACACACGGCACACACGGCACACACACGGCACACACGGCACACACACAGCACACACGGCACACACACAGCACACACGGCACACACACAGGACACACGGCACACACACAGCACACACGGCACACACGGCACACACACAGCACACACGGCACACACACAGCACACACGGCACACTACTCCTGGAGACTTTGCACAGAACTACCAGCGAGTGCGAACAGACTGCAGTGCCGTGTCTTCAGGCCTCTGAAGGAAAGAAAAGAAAGCATGGCTGTACTAAGCATGCAGGCTGTTCTCAAGTAAGGGAGGAGTAAACCTGGCAGAGAAATAGAACACCTCTGGGGTTTCAAATCCAGAAAACTTCCTGAGCAAATCAGTCAACCAAGATGATACTCAAAAGTCAAAACTCAAGAATGAAGAAACTGAGGGGGGAAAAAAATCAAAACTAGGAGACAGAAAATCTCGTGGCTCAACTCCCCTTGAGTAGATCTAACACATTGGGAATTGTTCCCAGACCACAAGGCAAATGTTAGGAACCGCCAATGCTCTGTCAAGGGTCTCAGCTTTGCAGATGAAGAGATGGATTGGCAGTTAGACAGCACTTGCTGTCTGTCCTGGCTAGTTCTGTCAACACCACACGAGCTGGCGTCTTTTGGTACGGGGGATTCTCAACGGAGTCAATGTCTCCAGAAGATCTGCCTGGGGCAAGTCTGTAGTGCATTTTCTTGATTACTGGCTGGTATGAGTGGGCCCAGCACACTAGGGACAGTGCCACCTGTGGACAGGTGGCCCTGGATGGTGTAAGAAAGCTGGCTGAGAAAGCCATGGCAGAACAAGCCAGTAAGCAGCACGCCTCTGTGGCCTCTGCGTTGGTTCCTACCTCCAGTTCCTGCCCTGACTGCCCTGGATGACAGACTACTCTGTTATGATTAAATAAAACCTTTCCTCTACAAATTGATCTTGTTCATAGTGGTTTTTTGTTTGGTGGGTTGTTGGCTGGTTTTTCCAGACAGGGTTTCTCTGTGTAGTCCTGGCTGTCCTGGAACTCGCTCTGTAAACCAGGCTGGCCTCAAACTTACAGAGACCCACTACCTCTGC